CTGCTGGGATGGTGATGCAACTATTGGCTGGTTCAAAAATCATTGAAGTGGACAACAATGTCAGAGAGGATCGTGAACTTTTGTGAGTGACTCCCGTTCATCTTATTCCTTTGATCTTGAATGATATTAGCGTTTACATTTCTTCCATAGTCTATGTGATACATTCGTCATTTCACCACATTATATAATATTCGCTGCATGAAAAAACTACCACTTTTATTGACATGACTTTCATATTACAATTTACAACATGATGCTTTCTAACGTATTATTTACAACATGGCACATTGTTTATATAGGAAAACTATGGGTTCTAAGTGTAATGGGCTACGCTCTAGGGGTTTTACACCCTATGGTGCATAGTCTCTATTACTATAATTTACTACATTATTATACTTTGAGGCTGTTAGACATCTTGGCTGCTGCTGGTGTGGCAATTGTTTTTGTCCTCTTTGAAAAAACAAGTTTTTTTTATCATATGTTGTGCATTTGAAAAAAAAGTGTATTGAAGAAGTTAGGCATGTAAAGTTACTTAAACTAACAAATGTATAAACTTAAAAGTATATCCAGGATTGATAATTTCCAATTGGTAACCAAATAGTTGTACTATCTTGAAACATGACCCCTATATTTGGGATAATTGGAAAATGCTTTAGTATTGTCCACTAAATTTGTAGCCTAAATGTATGTGATAAATCTGGAGATAAATTCTATTTTTTCACCACCATAATGATATCAATATATCATGATATCGCCTGTGGGTCGTAATAAAAGTTTTATTTTGCAGAAACGGGGCTCAAAAGCTGCTAGGCATCTTGATTGCAATAGGAGAGGCAATTGCTTATGTCCTATCAGGGATGTATGGAAGTGTAAACCAATTAGGGGTTGGGAATGCCATTCTAATTATTATCCAACTTTGCTTTGCTGGAATCATTGTCATGTGTTTAGATGAACTCCTCCAGAAGGGATATGGTCTTGGTTCTGGGATTTCCCTATTTATAGCTACCAATATATGGTAACATTACAACTTAATGTTATCTCCAACCGTTTTTACTTACAGGTTCTTTCTCATTGTGCATGTTTTAATAATTGCTTAATTTTATACTGATGTCTCAGTGAAAGTATTATCTGGAAAGCATTCAGTCCAACAACCATTAATACTGGTCGTGGAGCTGAGTTCGAAGGTGCTATTATTGCTTTGTTTCATCTACTGATAGCTCGAACGGACAAAGTAAGGGCTCTCAGAGAGGCTTTCTACCGGCAAAATCTTCCCAATGTTACCAATCTGCTTGCCACAGTTTTGATCTTCTGCGTTGTTAACTATTTCCAAGGTTTTCGCGTGGTCCTTCCTGTAAGATCAAAGAATGCACGTGGACAACAAGGCTCTTATCCAATCAAATTATTTTATACCTCCAACATGCCCATCATTCTTCAATCTGCACTTGTATCCAACCTTTATTTCATATCTCAGGTACCCGAGATTCTTCTGCAAAATATAGAGTCAATGCTTGATTTAGTCTCTCGACTATATATTATTACTTAAATTGGTCTTTGACTCTTTTTTGGAGTCAATATGGTCCTCCACAAATTTTGTCTCAATTTGGTCCTCGTGCATATGCATTCTGTTTGTGGAGGGCATTTTCATCTGCACATTTCAAAATTGTGTCCAAATTACTTAGTTGAGGACCAAATTGACTTATAAACCAGGTCCGGATTTAGTGAATCAATGAAATGCAATTGTCATTTTTCATAAACTGGTCCAAACTGCAAGGTTGATGACCAAATTGCTTGTTTAAAAAAGCCAATTAGAGTATAGCCAAGGGACCAAATTGGGCATTTACTCCGATATAACTGTCAAAAGCATGTTATTTCGATTATCTAACAGCTTGGCATGTACAGTTGCTATACAGGAAGTACGGTGGAAACTTCCTTGTCAATTTGTTGGGTATATGGAAGCAATCTGAATACTCTGGCCAGTCTGTCCCTGTTGGTGGACTTGCTTACTATGTTACTGCACCATCAAGGTGATTAGTTGGAAGATATAACACTAATATATATACTCTATATATTTTTTCTTCTTAAATGCATGTTCTTGTTTGGAGAAACTGCTTTTTTTAGAACGTAAACCCTAGACATGAGTAATATTTTTGTGTGCAACATTGTGGCAGCCTGGCGGACATGATGGCGAACCCATTCCATGCTCTTTTCTACATAGTGTTCATGCTTTCGGCTTGTGCGCTTTTCTCGAAGACATGGATTGAAGTTTCTGGGTCTTCAGCTAGAGATGTTGCCAAACAACTTAAGGTAAGATGATTGTTAACAGTTAACATCATAACATTTAAATTTGGGTAAAGCTGCGAAGAGAAGAAGGGTATCTTTGCAGTGCTAACTCCGTAACATAGCTATATTGCTCTATGATTGGGTTTGACCTTGTAAAAGTGGCTTGAAGTCATTTTTGCACCTACTCGAGGCTTGGTTTGTATCATTATATGTCGATATGTACTTACAATTTTATAACCATTTAAAGATTAACGTAACACGTGATTGCAAATCTAATCCTCCCTCTCAAAAAATAAAAATAGATACAAACACATGAAATCTAAGCATACCCTTTATGAATACACCCTCCTCCCTATAAACCACACATTTTGCCCATTTGGTAGCAGCTTTCTCGTTTAGCTTAGCCTTTTGAAAAAGGTTATCTAACGGTAACTTTTAGCTTTAATATTTTCAAAGTTAATCTCTGCCACTTAATGACCACTCGTGCTAACAACAAGTCTACTACTACTACAACCACCATTGCAGGAGCAACAAATGGTGATGCCCGGACACCGGGACTCGAATCTGCAGAAGGAACTGAACCGTTACATCCCCACTGCGGCTGCATTTGGAGGAATGTGCATCGGCGCATTGACTGTGTTGGCCGACATGATGGGCGCCATCGGCTCCGGAACCGGTATTCTTCTTGCTGTCACAATCATCTATCAGTATTTTGAGACATTTGAGAAGGAGAAAGCCACTGAACTTGGCTTCCTGGGCTTGTGATTTTCACTTTGATGTCCCTTGTGATTTTCATCTTCTTTTTTTAAAAAATAGATTTCTAATCAACTTTGATGAGTGCACTGCAAAAGTAGGCGTGATCTAATGTACCCGTTTTGATTTAGCACGTTTTTTTTATGTAAGATGAAAAAATATTTGACCTTCCATTTTTATTCACTAAAGTTTATTTAGTTTGTACTGGAATCATACCCGTGCGTTGCACGGCAAAAAATTTATTGAAATATAAAAATTATAAGTTATTTGAGTTTTTAGAAGTTTTGTATAAATTAATTGCATAAAAATGAATGTTGTTTTACATCCCAAAATTGAAAACAAATTCATTATAAAGCATTCAAAGATTATGAAAAACTTTTTAAACAACATTTGTTGTGGAAATGTTTGTTGGTCATTTTCATCATAAATCAAAAATTTTAAATTACTACAATTTGTGATTCTAGAAACTACAACACATAGTTGTTTATGACTGAATACATGCTTTTTGAGAGAAGGCCTAAGTGAAATCATCATTAGCCTTCACTATCTTTTGTAAACCACTTTTGTCATCCCAAATTTATTGTTCTAGTTTGACTTCACTAATATTAAAAAACATGCTTGAAAATTAAAAACACATTGAAATTAGTTTGGAAGAAAGAAAAAAAGTGAACCATATATTTTTTTTACTTTATTAGAAAAGTAAAAAATTAAACAACTATTTTGGGACGAATAAAAAAGAAAAGTGAAACGATTAATTTAGAACGAAGGCCGTACATAAATAGTGTGGTTCACGTGTGTATTCTCTCTATTGCAAAATAAAAACCCCAATCTCCATAAATAGTTCGGTTCATGTGTACCAAAAAAACTCAAAATTTGAATTAACCTATACTAGGTTTAAACTTGCACTGCATCACCTCATTAACCAAAGCTGGAAAAGCAAAAAATTTAAAATAGTTCCTCCATTTCTTGGTTTTCCTAAAACATTTTCATTTTTATAAAAAATGACTAATATATCTAAATTAAGTCGTTGCAATACACTCCATTTAATTTGCGTTGATATGATAAGTCATTTAAATAATTTGTCTATTTTTTTTCTTCGATGATAAAAATATAATTACTACCTCCGTCCCATTTTAAATTGTATGTTTGCCTTTTTTCTCCGTCCCAAAAAAAGTACAAAAAAATTTCCTCTAAGCCAAAATATGAATAGTTTTAAGAAAGGGAGAGAGTAGTAAGCATGGTATCTCTCTAGAAGACATGTTCACGCAGCTATAACTCTAACATTCTACAAAAAACAATGTTGATAACTTTCCTAAACATCTTGGAATTAAGTGATGAATATAAAAGATAAAATAAATCTACTGTGATAACAGCACAAAAGGTAAAAACACTGTTTTTTATTTCCTTCAAAAAAAATGTTTTTTAAAAGTACAAATATAACAAACATGAGATTACATTGATACAATTGTGGAATTTTAGTGGCATCGAAACATGTAATAGTAATAAGCAATCATAGAGCTACAAATTTGCATCATCTACAAATTTGAAGAAGAAAATAATGGCACAATCCAAATAGAAAAGAAGGAAAATAGTTTCTACGCATGAAACAGAAAATATTTTTTTTGTTAACTTGGTGGGTTTCTATAAAACTATAAATGTTCACACGAGAGCATAGTAGAAACCAAGTTTTACATGGGAAAAGAGTTTGAACTCTTTGGAAAGACTTATCTTGTGCATCTCACAATTCTAGAGACTTAAAAATCTCCACATTGATCCCAAACCCAAATTCTGTCTCCCAAAAAGCATATGAAACCAAATCAAAATGGTGTTTATTTATTCACCTATAGGCTTAAGAAATGAGTAATGCTCTGTTTTTCTTCTATAACCTATAGTTCCAAAGGAAAAAAAATCCAAAACATTAAGACACATAGGCCAACAGAATGATTCATGTTACATAAAAACTTAAAAGAGCAACAATATCTTTGTTAACAGAACCATAATAAGGTCTCTAAAACTAACCTCACTAATTGAACACAAGTAGTGTATACAAGCAGCATTAGTGTATTCTTGAGAAGAACTAAGTGACTATGTAACCTAACAACGAAAGACAATAAACTAAAAAAACGGTTGCCCGAAACGTGAATCAAATCGCGTCACACGTCCATATACTATTTGGCACACAATTCAGGGACCGGCACCATTGACAACGATTGTAACCATTCACCCCACTGAACAGCAATGCCAAACCTACCACAAACCTGCCAGTTTAGCAAATTTTCAATAAGAGGTTAGCTAGACTTCATTAACCTCAGTCTACGAAAAAAATCAGAGGAAACTAAAGTTACCCAGATATCAGTAAAGCCAGAGACACCGCCCACAGTAGGCATTGGTGAGGCTTGTATTGGGATCTAGCTTGAACCTCAGCCGGGAAGTTCCTACTTTCCATCCACCCTAACTGAGGAAGTGGAAGCAGAACAAAGCCGAGTAGAAAACCAGTCAAGAATCCACCAATGTGGTTAAAATTGTCAACGTGAGGAAGAATCCCGAGTGCTAGGTTAAAAGTCACTACCACAAGAACTGTGAGTAGGGCAGCAATCTGCACAAGAACACCACAAGCAAAAAAGAATGGGTTTTATACAAAGGAAATTGCAAGAAATCTTTCAAATTCAAATTAAGCCCAACAATATATACGAACAAGATTCTAAACAAAATATGCCCACCTTGTTGGTATAAATTGACCAATTAGTGATGAGCTCCGAAAGCATTGCCCCAAGGATACCAAAGAGGGCACCCGAAGCGCCAACCGAGATGCTTCTCTGAATGAACAGAGAGGAAAACACAGCCCCCCCAAAGCCCGACAGCAAGTAGATAACTCCAACCCGAGCTGGCAGAGGATCACAAGAATAGGATTAGGAAGTGAAAATTAAAGGCACAAAAAATACGAGTTCCAAATTTTATATACCGAAACCGCATTGTTCTTCAAGATGATTGCCGATAACGAGAAGACTTATCGTGTTTGCAATGAGGTGAATAAGACCGGCGTGTAACCAGATACAAGTTAAAAGCCTCCATCCTTGATGATGATGAACCACCTTGTCCCATTCAAGCCCACCCATCTTCCTTAATCTATATGACATGAAGAAAAAGTGGTAATTGTAAGTAACAATGCAACACAACATTCTCTAAACAAAAAAACATAAATGTCTTGCCAAAAACATAACACTTACCCACACATTCATATTCAAATTTAGCCCAATACACACCACATCAACTTAAGGCCTATATTTTCCAACTAATTTTCATTTCACATAAACATTTCACCATTAAGGTGCTACTTACACAGATGTAGAGGGACCCAGAGGATTCTCGCGGAAGGGCTGGAAAGAGAAGCGTCCGAGAGGTTTAATAAAACAGCCGGAGGAATGCTTTGGGCAATTGTTGACATACATAGTGAAACCGAAGACAACAACGTTGGCCAAGACGAACATAGGGATTAGCCATGAAACCCTTTGCCTGTCCCCGGAATCATCCGCCGGAGAGTAATTTCCTCTCCCTTTCTTCTCGCCGCCGGCGATTTCTACATCGTCCCTACCCATCTCGTCTCTCTGACTGTAAATCTCAGTGGAATGTTATTTCACTTCTCTAGATTCTTGCGGTTTGGTACCTTTCTGGGCGTTTTATGCGGGAGTCGCATGATGTCTCACCCGTTTGTCGAGTGAGGGCGAGAGAAACGGAGGGGTTGTTGCTGATCGTGGCGAACCACCCTGCCCCACGATGGAGTCCCTCTTCTGTGAGTCTCCTTTATTTAACTCCTTAATGACTTTCATTAAATTCAAATTCTTATCTTATACTCGTTCACTCCCTCAATAGTTTTTATTTTTTCCTATAACTCTTATCAATTTTTGACTTATAATTAGTATTTTAACTCATATCATGCACGATGTTGAAGGATTTTTTTATTCTATAATTTCTCGATAAAAAAGTACTTTGTATCTTATAAGATCTGTTTGGTTGAAAAAGAAATATATTACAAAAAAATAATTTTAATTTCTTATATTTGGTTATATACTTTTACTGGTAAAAAATTATTTTTTGAAGACAAACATTTTCAAATAAGAAATGCATAAAATGACTTTAGTTTGGATTTTTTGCGTAATTTACTCCCAAATTTTTCAAAATTGTATGGATTGCTCCTGAATTTTAAAACTTACACCAATACTCCTGAGCTTTTAAAAATATTTCATAACTAGTCCCTCTATACCAAATTTAGCAATGCTTTACCCAACTAGTGCAACCATGAATTCATGTAAAGTCATTTATCACACATGAATTTCGCAATATGCTCTTCCCAAATATTATTTTCTATATTTTAAACTCTTTAAACTTTATATAATTATTCTCGATTTAATCGTCGATAATCAAATTTGAAGGCCAGACATCAGTTGATAAAGTTCGTCATCAATCAATCAACCTCTTCATTAATCCATAGCATTTTCATCAAGCTCCAACCCATATATTGATTAACATGTGATTAACACGCTCCTAAATCTGGCATAGAGAGACTGTTACTGTCATACTTTTAAAAGTTCATATCGCATTGGTGCAGTTTTTATAGTTCGGAGTAAATCTGTGTAATTTTCAAAGAGTTTAGGGTTAAATGACGCTACTTTAGTTTCCTTTGGACGAAAATTTATTTTCTTACTTAGTCCTCGAGTCTTCTAGTTTGATGAACAAAGAAAAGAACCCCACCCCCAACTACACTACTTCCCAAACAGTAGAAAATGAAGCTCTTTAATGGATGTTTGATACCGATCAAATATAAAAAACAAATTATGCAGCCAAAAATATTTTTAAGTTTTCTTAAAACGTCATTGTTCTTTACTCAAATATAAACAACGTACTAATATAAGAAAGTCCTAACAAATAATGAACATTGTTTTTTTAGATAAAATTCTTCTTACCAAAGAATCTTAAAAAGTGGGAGAAAATAAATTTTCCCATATAAATTAATTTTCTAAAAAAGTATCCCCACTCCAACCAAATGCATCATTAACCTCCACTTTCTTTTCAAATTCTTATTATTTCTTTTAATTTCTAAGTGTATCGGATTTCTTCAAATAGTAATTTTAAAATTATACGGAGTATATGTTAATTTTTATATGGAAAAATTGCCCAAAATAATCCCAACTTTACCTGGTCTTTCAAAAATAATCCCACCTTTCCTGTGATGCATAATAATCCCAACTTATGACTTTAAACGGTCAAAACCCAGCGGCAATTCAAAGATTGCCTCCCTATTGCCTTTACGGGCAAAATCTGTTGTTTTACTTTCAACCCTAATAAAAACTACTTAAAAACAAAAAATTAAAAAAAACTTTAAAAGTAAATTTAAAAAATTTAATGAAAGATGGAGGTAGTAGTTTTCTTTTTCCTTTTTTAAAGATTAGTCTTAGTTTAAAAAATAAAAACAATAGATATAAAAATGAAAAAATGAGAAATGTAACTAAAATGATACAAAAATAATAAATTAAATAAGGTAATCAATGGAAACTAACTTAAAATTGGAAAAAGTAAAATAAAAATATACGGGTGGGTTTTAATATTTTAGGCATTATACAAAGCATTAACATATCACTTCTTATTTTTTAGAAAAAATTATCTACAATAATTCCAACTTTACCAGACGGCTTGTTCTTTTAAAAAATAAGTAGTACATTAAGACTCCGTATAGTGTGTAAAATGATAAACCCACGACTCCATATATATTTATTTTATTTCTTACCAGTTTCTGTTTAATTTCTATTGATTACATTATTTATTTGATTAATTTTGTATGGTTTTAGTTATTTTTCTCATTTTCATTATTTTTTATATCTATTTTTTTCTAAGGTAAGAATAATCTTTAAAAAACAAAAAGAAATGGAGGTTGAAAGTAATTCAAAACATTTAAATAAAAATTTCAAAAAAAATTAAAAAACAAAAATTCATCAAAAATAATCACAACTTTCATTTTGTTGCCTAAAACGGGCATTTCCGTTATCCCTCCGTTAGAAATTTAATGGCGACCCAAAACTGGCAAATTTTAGTAAAGTTGGGATTATTATGCATCACAGTGAAAGGTGAGATTATTTTTTAAATACCGAGTAAAGTTGGGATTTTTTTGGGTAATTTTTCCTTTTTATATTATTCTTATTTCAATTGTTATTATTATTATTATTATTAAATGTACAAAATGAGCACCATTTAATTTATAAACGCATATATAATGAATATTGTGTGGTAGAAAACCCACTATCCAAAATTCATGGAAAAACTCACTCACACATCCTAGCCTCGATTAAAGTTTTGTTTGTCATTATGTTGAGAAACTAAGAGCAGATATCATATTCTAATCAAGTCGAGTCAATACCACTAAAAAATTGAATATACAATTCATATGACACATATTATCTAAATTTAAAAAATAAGACCTTTCAAATACGCACAAAGATAATTGTTTTCTATTCGCTTTTGAATCTTTATACTTTTGGTTGAGTTATTTTTTCTTTTTAATAAAATTATTGTTTAATTATTTTTATTGTCATATTAAAAAACTCTTTTGCTTAATCAAAATAAAGTAAATAATGTATATCACGTTGACCATTTCTGATAATAAATAAATATCGCTAGTCTCTTAGTCATTTTGTGAGTTACATCATAAGTTCTAAATAATAGTCTTTTGCTTAATCAATATAAAGCATAATTTAATATTATTTTTATCTATGTTAAGTTATGCCTCTCAAAGAGCATTAATGAAAACTATTTCTCATTTGACTTCATCTCAATATTTTTTTGACATGAATTTAGGATACAAAACTAAGAAATGGAAAATTATATTAATGATATCAATATTAAAAATTTAAAAAGTAAGTGAGAGCCACACAAATATTATTGTACCAAACATAGTCTTAGACAAAATAATCAGATATATAACAAAAAGTAGAAGGAAATGAAACATAAAACATGAGATATAACTTATTTTAATTAACAAATTTAACTATTCATTTCCACTCTTTTTATTTTTTTCAAACTTTTAACTCTTTGTAGTGTTTTCTATTTCTTTTCAAATTTCTGGAATTCTTTTTAATTTTTTAATTCATTTTAGTTTCTTTCAAGATGTACCTCTACTATTCAAATCTAAAAGAGCATATGCTAAATTAGATAAATTTAAGATAATATTGATCTATAATGTACTTCTTGTGTCCCTGAGTACTTGTTAACTATTGGCCTTTTCGGTAAAAATTTATAACATTTGACCTCAAATTAAATAAAAATAACATTAGATATTGATATAAAAATAATTTTATTAGATTTATTTTGTAAATTATTTTTTAAATATATTTTATCTAGATGATAGTGTCATCCGTTAACACTTAATAGTATCAACGAAACCTTGCTTTAGAATTATAGTTTAAAATATTCTATTTTAGATTATATTTTGTCATTTAAGATTTTAAAATATAAATATCTCAATATAAAAAGAAAGTGAAGATATTTCTTATTAAAATATATATTTCCTTTATAAATTATTTTAAGAACATGTGTTTTTTTAGAAAATAAAAAAGTCTTCATTTCATAGATAAAATATTAAATAAAACTACTATATATAAAACTCTGTATCCTATTGAAAAATTTGAATCTTGATTGAATCTTTGATTACATTCTTTAATATTGAATAAAAATACTATATATAAAGCTCTACTTTTTTTACTAAAAATTCGTTTTTCAATTAGGTGATTCACATTTCTTATTTAGAGCCTGTTCTTTAGAAGAAAATGGAAGGAACTCAAAGGAACTGGAATAAACTATAAGAAATTAGAAAAAATTAAAAAAGAGATCTAAAAAAACTAGAAAAAATTAGAAAATCTAAAAAAACTTTTAAAAATAGTGAGATGAAAAAAATGAAATAATTTATAAAGTATAGTTATATATGAACATAATGGGTTTTTTAGAGTGATTTGTCGGAAAGTAGAAAGAGTTTGAAGGAAAAAAAATAGTTGGAAGAAATTGGAAGAAACTGGAAAAACTAGAAGAACTTGAAGAAATTGGAAAGAACTGAAAGAACTATAAGAAACTAGAGGAAACTGGAAGGATTTGGAAAGAATTAGAAGGAATTGGAAGAAACTAAAAGTTAATAGTTCAAGCTCTAAAGAACAGACTCTTAATATCCTACGAATGCTCTTTAGAGAAAAGTAACATTTTAATATTTGTAACTATAAAGGTTGAAAATTTTTATTACTTAAATACATACTTATAAAAATATGGAGTATAAATATGTAAAATAAAGTATTAAATTTTTTAGGAAGGAATTTTTTAAAATTTAAAAGAAGTCAACTTCCCATATATGATGCCGTTTTAGGAATGAATTTAGATACTATTTATGTGTACAATCATCATCGACGTAGCAAAAAAAACTCCACGTAGATGTTCCATGTGTCAAGCTCAGGTAATCCGAGTCTTGAATATTATAGTACATAATTTTTCATTATTTGGTTTCACATGATTTATCATATAAAAGAATAAAAAATAAATTCAATAAAACATTGTAATGGAAGAAAATTTGTGTATGAGGGGAGCATTTATTAAAAACTTTCATCCACTAATTTTGGCACATTAAATTTATAAAAAAACTAATTGAAAATTTGAGGAAAAAATATTATTGATAGATCTTTTGATATAGTATAATTGAATGTATAATTGACATCACTATATTATTTTACTAAAAAGTATTCAAACACCAAAATTCACACGTTACTTTTAAGATTAATTGAAATCTGGACAAAAATATTGTAAATGATAAATTTGAATTTATAAGTTTTTGAACAAAGTAATTATCATTTCCAAAAAATGAATAAAAGGAAAGTGAGAAACTAATTGAAAAAGGAAAAATATCTAGATTTTTTTTCTTTAATGTTTTTGACACGCAACATTTCTTTATTTCTCTCTTGCCACGTCACATATTACTTGTCAAAAAGTAACACCTTATCTCTGCCATATGTTGAGCCTCAGCTATGCCAAATGTCATGTCCTTGTAGTTTGGACTCTGTTTTTTATATATAAAAGATTAAATAAAATATATATTTTATATTAATTAGATAAAATAATATTTTGAAAATATTTGATACAATAAATATAATTAAATTATTTTTATATCAATATCTAATATTATTTTTATTTAATTTGAGGTCTAAGTTTACCAATTTTGACTGAAAAATCAAAAGTGGACAACTATTCAAGGACGGGAAGAATACATACCTACAAGGCAATCTCTAGTGATTCACTGTCTCACTCACTTCACATCCAAAATACTTACTTTCGCTATAATTATTACATTTTTATTTTTATTTAATATTTATCTATTTCTATTCAAATTAAATTATATTTTTTATAAAAGACTAAAAATTGTTTATTAAGTTTTCGGGTTTATTTTTATTATTCTTTTTTCTTTCGATTTTATTATTTCTTTTATTTAGGATTATTATTATCTTTTTTTCTTCTATTTTTATGCTATAACAATTAAATTTAAAAACGTAAACATAAAAAAAATAAGTTTGATAAACACATGTCACTTGTTGTCGACTTACGTAAATGCCTTTTATGATAAATTTAAATAATAACTTTAGAAAATTTATAAACACATGAACTGATGCTTCAAGCCGATATCTTGAAGTATTCTTCGAACATATCAGATATCGTCTCGTACGCTATCTGACAAAGCGCGGCAGTGCACTTCTGGACGTTGTTAAACCCGCGTCGGCCTCTCCCATCAAAGCGTTGGGTAAACCAAGACACCTCGAGTTCAATATCGACGAGTATGCATAAAAAAAGAAAACGACTCATTCGAAATACACAAAGCATGGAAATAGTCATTGAGTAGTGAAGCGAGTGCAGCCGCCCGATCATGTTTTAAACGCTAACATCGAGTCTGGCATCAGGACGATTCTGCTTCTTCTCGTTGGCCTTGTCGCTGCCAATAATAACAATCCATCATGAAACAACGAAAAATTAGAGCTCTGTTTTCATTATTAGAGGAAGATGATCCCATTTTTTTTATATTTTGTAGAGAGAACTAAAATAAATAAAATATCTTTTGGATAAATTATAGAGAGAAGGAGAAATGTTGTGCGTTTTTGTTTTGTTAAAAACAAGGGATATTTATAGTATTGAAATTTAATTTTTTTTAAATAAATTCCCAAAGTCATTTTTTAGTTGTTTGGGTCATTGGGAACGGTTAAAACAACGGCTCTCCCTGGGTTAAACATTTGACGCACAAGGGATGACGCCCCCTAACGCCGAACGAAGGCGGTGTTTGACGCCCTTCCAGTGTTAAACACCAGATTACGCCCTCGGCGTTAGACCCATTTCCTGTTCTCTCAGGGCATCTTTAATCGATCTGCAATAGAAGTTTTGTTGCGGTATTTGCTTTAACCATAGTTTTGAAAATTGGACCAGGCCAATCGATTCGGACCGTGATCGGCAAACCGGTGGTCCAACCGATCCAGCCCAGCCGTTTAGACTGTATTCAGCTTCAAACCAATCCGAACTGGTGTGATACGGTAAGAATCGAGCAGTTGAACTGGTCAGAGCAGTTTTTTTGTTTTTGTGATATTTTGCGATTTCTTTCAAAAACATACCACCTTGGGATGACACCCCCTAACGCCGAACGGGGCGGTGTTTGACGCCCTTCTGGCGTGAAACGCAGGAGCACGCCTCCGTCGTTAGACCCATTTTTTTTGCTCTTAGGGCATCTCCAATTGATCCGCAAATCAGAAGTTTTGTTGCGGTATTTGCTCTAACCATAGTTTTAAAAACAGGACCGAACCAGTCGGTTCAGACCGTGACCGTCGAACCGATGGTCCAACCGGTCCGGTCTAGCGCTTTGGACCATAATTAGCTTCAAACCAATCCGAACCGGTGTAAACTGGTAAGAACCGGACGGTCGAACCGGTAAGAGTAGTTTTTTATGCTGTTTTTTGCAATTGTTTTCCAAAAGCAACCACCATGGGGTTTGAACCCAAGATCTCTTAGACATTTAATTAAGTTTCTAGCCATCCAAACTAGAGTGTTTTTTGTTACAAGTCTACTTAGTCTTTTAAAATATTTCATAATTAAAAAAAGTTTGTAAACAGATTCCTTTTTAGTGTAAAAAATATAATATTATATAGCTATGAGTCAAACACAAAATCATTGATATAATTGATACTATTACAAAATGCCTATCATGCAAAGATTTTATTTGAGTGTTTTTTTAATATTAAACAACTTATTTGAAAAAATAAAATCGACTCTTAATTTATAAATTTTTTAATATTATTTTTTAAATATGTAAATTTTATTTTTTAACTTAGTAAAATAACTCAAGTATATTAATTTAATTTTAGTCAAATATTATAAATTACTTTTTTTAGATATTATAAATGAGGGAGTGTGTGTCGGTATGTGTGTTTGTCTATATATATATATATATATATATATATATATGTTTAAACTATCGATTCGACTAGTTAAACTACTGATTCGACCACTAAACCAGTACTTTGACCAATCCCATCGCTAGTCCGGTGAAAACTATGGCTCCAACCCTCGCAAATTATATTGTACACTCGGTTGTACCTAATTTTTGGTACAATTGGATAATTGAAGAAAGAAATGAACTGCCGGAATTAGTGTCGCTCCTCCATTTGCCGGGTCGGGCCACCGGAGACGAAAGAAGATGGAGCAGCAAAGACGGAAGAGGATGGAGCAGCGAAGATGACGAGGAGCGACGATGGCGAATATCTGGAGAAAACGATGGAGAATGAAGATCTAAGGAGCACCGAAGGTGGTGGCAGCTTGAGGTCGCGGGTCGGGTCGCGTAGATGGAGGAAGAAAGCAGCTGTGGAAGAGAGGCGGGAATATGAAAACCCTAGTCGCAGAGAAAAGTTATTTATGGTATGAGTTTTATTTTATTTGAGAATGAACATTAAGTTATTTGAGAATGAGTACTATTTTTATCTAGAATGAACACTACGTTATTTGTGGATAAATATTATAATTGTATTGAATAAATGTGTGAAATTGAGTACTCCATTATTTTGGAATGAATACTACATTATTTTAGAATGTGTACCACGCTTTTTCAAAATGAATAGTTATATTTGTGCAAGAATGAGTACTTGCTCTTATTCATAATGAGTACTACCCGGATGTACCTATCTCTATGTACATCCAGTTGTACCATATCCCTTCACCTCCAACCCTATCCAAATGTAAACGCTTTTTGAGCCTTTACTCTCTCTCTCCTTCTAGGAACGCATATATGCGTCTCAGCGTCTGCACTATTCAACACTGCATTTTCTTTTCTTTATTTTTTTCCATCGTAAATGGGTAGATTATGAGGAGGACTCCAAAAATAATTGTGATAGGGAAATGCTTTAATAAAAAAATTAAATAGTATAAAATAATTTTAAAATAAGAATTTAAATCATAAATATAAGTTGGGAGTTTGTGATTATTGTGTTTCTCAGAGTGGTTAAGCTTATGCGAACGTTTCTGGACAGAATTGGCTATTCACCGGTTTCCTTCAGATTCAGGTATTTCACAACCCAGGCTCATTTCTTCCATATTTCATCTCCAAACTTTAGAATTAAGATTAGGGTTTAGTTATTTTTTCCCAAATCGAAAGCAGTAGGGGTATCTCCTATATTCCATATCTTTTTAGTGTTTCATGATTGAACTCCCAAAAGTAGCTTAGATGGTTATTCCGAATCTGTTTTGGCCAAGACTCTTAATCTAGTTGTAGACATGTATTGCTAAGAAACTCGGAATTGAAATGGAAATGGATCCAATTCTCATCCAATTCTTCCTCAAAAGCATTGAATAAAAGAAATGAAGCAATTTGATGAGAGTTTAGAGGACGAAATTGTATGGTGTGTAGAGGAGTCTATTAGAACGGAGTATTTTGTGAGGATTTGTTTGAAGAATTTGCTTCATAGAATGTTTTGGGAGAGAAAAGTCTTTAAGTGATCAATTTGTTGATTCAAAGTTTATGTTTTTAATAGTTTATTAATACGGAGTAAACAATACCTGGATTTAATCCCCTCTTTCTAGTAGCTATTAGATGCTCTTCAATGGCATTTTTGTTCTCAGTTGCTTAAGTTTATGATGATTCCTTTTGAGACTTCTCTTTGAATTATGTCTTAGGCCAGTTGATTTCTGGCTGTCTTCAGATTACGGATGTTTGTTTTGGGGACTGCAATTGGCTACATTGTATTAATGTTATTTTTTTGGAAAATGGGTAGGTTTTTGTTCACAACTTGCATTCAGACTGTCTTATGTTGGCTTTGTTCTACCTTTTGATAGTTTTTGCATTTCTAAGAATGTTTTCCACTAATTTTCTAATACTGGTCTCAGATTTGTATATGTATTTAGCTCAAGCTGTGGGATTGTTCCCACCCCGGGGTTGAAACTATTTTGAATCAGAGCTTGAGACCAAATACAAAAGTAGGACTTTTATCTTATATTTGTTTGGAATTAAGGCCATATAAAATCAACGGAAAACTAAAATTTGCACAAATCTAGATATAATTTGCATAAGGACGTCAAACGATTAACGATGAACCATGTTTATTTAGTTAAACCTTTGAAGTGTGAGATACTTACAAGTTACAATCTGGAAAAGATAGTGATGATCATGCAAGCAACACAAACCTGTCTTGTCTCTATGTAGTCCAAACGAATGGATCACCTGAAAATTCCCATCAACACATTGCTAGAAATGTGAAAAAAAAATGAGATCTACATTCTCTTTTTCATGAAGCACTATTTCGAGCTCTTCCAAGGATCATGCGAGCAACACCAACCTGTGTTGTCTCTATGTAGTACAAACAAATGGATCACCTGAAAATTCACATCAACACACTGCTAGAAATGTGAAAAAATATGAGATCTACATTCTCTTTTTCATGAAGCACTATTTCGAGCTCTTCCAAGAAGCGTGTAGATGTCAAAGCTTATATAGACATCTCTTCTCTTGATCTTTAATGGGCTCATATCATGAGCTCTTCCCAATGGGATTAAAAGTCCATACCAAATAATGTTTAGTAAATCAGGTCTGAGTGTGACCTATAAATTCTTACAGCGTTAGCCATAGTACTAACTCACATTTTATATTATAAATAATGATCTATATGTTTAGAAACACATTATTATTATTACCCAAATTATTAGAGGGATGTTGCTAAATCAACACCCTAAATGACTATATCCACACCTTTTACCAAAATTTGCCAAATCCACACGGGTAATGCTAAATCCGCACCTCATTTGGCTAAATCCACTCCATTTTATAATAAATGGACAATTTTGTCCTTCGCCTTTTTCCTTTCTTTTTTAAATAGTTAAGGATAAACATGTCTTTTTAATATAAATGGGGTGGATATAGCCAAGTGAAGAGTGGATTTAGCAATAGCCCATCCACGCCCATTAAAATAAATTTGATATTAGCATGGATTTAGAAAAATTGGGTGAAAGTTGTAGATATAGCCATTTAAGGGGTGGATTTAGCATCACCTTTATAAGACAGTCGTTTGGCTCAACAATACCATTTTGTGACAGATGTTATTTTGCTATATAGTTTCTTTGTCTAAAAATCTAGATTGAATACAAGGCATAGAACATATCACCTTGTACCGTTATCATCGGTTTCTTGATTAATTAAGTAGATTCACGAAAAATATAATATTAGTCTCTCACATTATTTTATTTGAGCATGACCATGCATTTATCTAGTCTCAATTATCAAGGGACTCATAGATATTTATCTCTCGTAAAGTGGGATGGACAAATCTTATATACACCACTCACATCCTCCACATGATTTATGATGCACTCAATGATTGTCATTATAATCTCCCTATCACGGATTCACGAGTGGTGTTGGACGGTATTAAAATGCATAGTGATTTCAAGTCAAACAACAACAGTTACACTATACTCACTATAATAATCACTAGTGGCACTGCTCTATGTTACATTCTCGTGGGTCACTCGAGTACATCCTTATTTCGTTTAAGTAAACTAGCCCTAAATGTTGTATTGAGTCAAATTACTCCGTGTAGTTAAAAAATGTGGATCCAGTTATTCCATATTCTCTTCACGTGATCTAAATGTTCTGATATGTCTGGTTTTATCTGTACTGAATTGATTTCAATAAGAAAAAGTAATAATAATAAGAATAAGTTGAAAGAACATGGCCATGTCCTTTTTAACTTTTTCTTATTGGAATCAAATAAGACCAGATTAGATCAGAAACATCTTTAAATATAACTAAAATCAGATTAGATCAAACCGGAACACAGATCGGATCAGAACTTATTCCAATTAGATCAGAATCATTGGGATTAGGTGAAGAGAACATGGCCTTAGTCCCTCTAATGGAAAGACTCGTGGTCATTTAAGTACATCATTGCCCTTGTGTCAGTTAACATGCCAACACAACATTTCTTTAACACCATTGACTTAAATTCTACTAGAGAGACCGATGGACTAACTTGACTTACATTTTTAGCTACAGGGACTAATTTGACTCAACACAACATATATGGACCAAATTGACTCATAAGTGCAATTAGAGGGATCAAAATGAGTATTAACTCCACCTTAATTTGTACGTATGTGTAAGTTTGATATCTCATATCTATAACATGCAAGACGTGGTTATAAGTCCCTAGGCATACTACTCTGCATACAATACTAGGGACATGTAAGACCATTAGATAATAGTCTCACTACTAGGTCATGCACCTAATTATTATTATCTTGAAATATTGGTCTAAGGACTATAATATGTTTGTCTAATATTCTCTCCGTTCCTAAATAAATGTCCCAGTTTGACTTCACGGAATTTAAAGTTATTGAAAAGTGAAAAGTGTGTAGATAGAATTTGTTTAGAGCCTTAGAGGGGAGAGAAAAGTTGTGAGCCACATGTTAACTTCTTTTTGTGGAAAGAAAGGATGTGGGAAGTTTATTTTGGGACAGACGGAAAAGAAAAGTGAAATTTTATTTAGGGACGGAGGGAGTACACTACCATTAAAAATATATAGAGTTCCCTTATTAATATAATGTCATGGTAAAAACACAAATGAACAATTAACATATGATTGGCCTTGGGCATTTACTAAGATTATTAATGTTTAGTATTTATGAACCAGACAATATTAACATATAGTAATTCAATGCCTTTGTTGGTAATTTATGTGCCTTTTGCCCCATTGAAGGGCTATCAATATTTTGTATAGTTGTTTATGATCATCCTTCTGTTTTCATACACTATCCGGGATTTTTCCCGCTTTAATAAATTGCTAACACTGTTGTATACTCCACCTACCGCACCCAAAATAAATTATTCTTGTTTTTAGTATAGAAAAATGAGGTGTTTTTCTTGGTACAGTGTTGGTATCAAAAAGAGTTTGGCCTCGTATTTTTCCATTGACTCATTGTATACACAACTTCCTGTAAAGCGTAATCATTCCTTTTATTATTGCTCAGGTTTTGGCTATAACATTTATGTACTAGAACCACTATGCGTTTATTTCTGTTATACATGGAGATGCATATATGTATGTATGCTATCTAGCATTTTTCTCTTTATCTTGTTTTGAGAACTTGATCCAAAATTTAGGCATTGCATAGACTCTGGTGTGTTTAAATTCCAACTTGGAATTAAGATGACAATCCTTGATATCTTTACAGCTGATGTACACCAATGCATATGCAGGTTGCATTTTACAATTATGGATCCCGTGGACGGAATTGTTGAGGTGGAAGGAAAAGGGGATGCGTTTATTCGTGTGAAAGTTCTGTTCTTTGCTCGTGCCAGGGACCTTACCGGCTTGGAAAATATGCATCTGGAAGTTTCTCCTGGCAGCACTGCACAAGATTGTTTGGATAAGCTTATTGCCAGGTTCCCAAGTTTGCAAGAGATCTGCCAATGCATGGTTCTTGCCCTCAACTGTGAGTACATTTCAGAATCCACCATTGTCAATAACAAAGATGAGCTTGCAATTATTCCTCCTATAAGTGGAGGTTAGACTACTCAGCACACCCTTATGTTGTAAAAATGTAGGGAATGAACAATTTTAATTCCTTAAATATCACGCGAAAAAGAAATTTAACAATAAATTTTGGAGGCAGGTTTTTGCTGTTCAAACATTTATGTCCTTGGGCTGTTTGGCACTTGGCCGTGTATATCTTTTATAACACCCGTAATTTCGAATTTCGTTTTAGCAGTTGGTGAATTAATAATTCAACTATCCATTCCTATAGCTATCAATTGTTGTTTGTTTGCTTGGTATTTCTATCTTAATAGAAATAGTGTACGTTCTGTTGATAATTGTTCTACGGGAAGTTCCAAAGTTGATGTCGCAATTAATGAGCTCGATTAGTGTCATAGACATGGTTAAAACCACAAAGGATGGAAAACGAATAGATATATTAGTGATGGGTGACTGTCCAAATGTATTCCCTAAGGAGCTATTGAGATTGCCATCTGATACAGAAATTACTCTTGGAATCACTCGTACTCTTCATGAAGAAGAAAGATGAGACTCATGTATTGTTCTCAACTTCTCATCAATGATATTTTGGTTAATTTGAGAAATGAAGATGCACTTGAGAAACAATGGAGAAGTGCTAAAGACACTCCAAGCGAAACAACTCCTTTCGAAGTTGTTTAAATTCATGTTTTGACTCAAGGAGATCAATTTTCTCGAAACGCCTGCCACTAAAAGTGGATCTTTAGCAATCGCATGAATCCTTTTTGTTTGATTTGATAAAAGTTTGAGAACACAAATGTTCTTGAATTGAATGCGAATAAACTAATGTCATGTTGGAACGTACATTTGCACTTCAAGTTCAAATTTGATCCAAATTACATTTTTGGGAATTTTAAAAAGAATTGATTTTGGATTTGAATCAAAATCCTTTGGGTAAATTTTATAATTGGTTCTTTGTAACAGAAGATTTCCATATTTAGTTATGTATTATCAAATATTAAACTCGTAGTCCTTTTATGCGTGCCTTTCTACAAATGATCCTTTTTTTTAATTTTCTGTCATGTTCGAGTTAATTTAAAGACTAAATGTATAATTTGACATCAACCTTATGTCCAGTGACATATTCTAATATTAGTTAGACGAATAACACAAAAATAATGACTATAATTGTGAGTTAAGATTCTGACGAAAGACCACATCTTTAGAGTATGATTGTAGTAAAAAGTGATTGTAATTTACAAACGAAGCATCAGAAGCAGCCTTTGGAATTGTGTATGACAAGAAAGATATATTATCATTGTAAAATTATACTTTTAACCCTCAAATTAACATCAACATGATAGAAAATAAAAAAAATTATTTGTGGAAAGATACCCATTTTAGAAGGACCATCGGTAATATTTGATAGTAAAAGACTAAATAAGAAAACCCCATTATAAATGATTAATTATGAGATTTACTCTAATCCTTTCATTCACAACAAAGCTTAATTCTAAATCAATATTCTCCCTTGCAGATAGTATAATGGTCAAGAATAGTGGAGTCAAATTCCAAAGTGTAAAAGGTAGGAGAATGAAATGATACTTTGGGTCATCACAAAGTTTTCATGCGGAAATTTGCCATTTGCTCTAAATGGCTTCTCAAACTAAATGGACAACAAAATCTAGCACAATACATTATATGCAAAACTTATATTCTACTCAACTCAACATATTCTACCTAAAAAAGCAAACTTGTCCAAATGATAGGATAATATCATAACACCTTTACAAGAAAGACCCACACATGGAAGCATGTGTTTAAACTTTAAACTAGGCAATCCATTGGTTACAAAAACTACACTTTTGTGGGACAGTACAAGAGAGAAAAAGAAAATGCTCTTATTATAGGTGACCAACCAGTTCACAAAAAACATTACTAATACGGGTGCCGGTTCTCTTCAACTTATCCTTGTTACTTATTACTTATTCTTATTGGTATCACTTCAGTTTAGATCGGAAACAACTTTAAATAAAACTACATTCAGATCATATCAGACCAGATCAGAATCATTCAGATCAGGTGAAGAAAACAAGCCCATAGTCTCTACACTACCACAAAAAGAAAAAACACAGCAAATGCACTCACACAAAATCGAAATGCATTAGCAGCTTCACAGAACCAAACTTCACTCCATCGCGATCATGAAGAGGAACTGCGCGAACCCCTCTTTGTAATTCGGATATGGGGAGGCATGTTTGTCCCCCAAAATCATCCTTTTCAGACATGTCATGCTCGTTAACTACAATCTGAAGAAGAGCCAGTTCCGGGACAGTTAATGGGAACTGAAATTCCTCATCCCAAACAGGTCTCCAATTGTCATCCACAGTTTCTGTCTTCTTCATTTTGCTATCAGCAGGGACTCCAACAATTCCTACCTAAAGATGGACCAGTCCAAAACTACTATCATAAATACATACTCCCTTCGTCCGTATTTGATTGTCCATTTTCTTAAAAAGATCTCATTTTTAAGAAATGTGTTTGAAATGACAAATAAGGAGTTTGTCACTCATTCATATGTCGGCAATGTTCATGCCATATCTCTAGGATATTTTAGAGAATTCATCATAATTTCTTTATTGAATATGGAACAGCTGATTCCGGACAAATGAAAACAATAAATTGGAAAACTAAATTTGAACGGAGGGAGTATATAATTATTCTTGGGACAAGAGGGATGATGAGATAAAGCATTGGGAATTTGGCATACCCTAACATAGAAATCTGGCTTGCTAAAGACTTCAAAATCTTTCTTGTGGAAATCATTGTGCCATCCGTCCCCCATATAGACTTTCACCTATTAAGAGAATTAAAGTCATTTCTTTAAAATAAAGAAGGAAATAAAAAACGAATGGTGTTCGGGCCTTTCAATAGAAGGACCAAGAAAATGTCAAACAATCTGAAACACCTTCAAAGTTATCTTCACAGGTAACTCAGCTCTAGGATCAAAGACCTCGCCGTGAGGACCAGACTTCAATAGAAACTCCGGTTTCTTCACATAACCACACCCACCGTTGGATTTGAACATTCCATGCATCAACCAAAGTGATCTTCCATGTCCCTATCAATATTTACTAATAAGGAATGTGGCAGAGACATAGCATAATTAGTTTTAGTGGAACTAGTTACAATTTTATCTGCTGTGTAGCAATCATTATTGTCTGAATGTCTGTGACAGAACACTTGTACTCAAAAGTAAAAACCTCTTCCCTTAAAAGGTCTTCTGAACTATTCAATTGATTTACAAACACACACATTTATGGTGACTAAACACAATTAGGGCCGTCTGGAAAGAAATATTTGGCCGAAATGACTTGATCTGCTTAAGTTTCCCAACACAAAAGTGTTCTGTAACATCCATTTCAAACAAATAAGTCAAAAGCAACTTATGCCAAACTAGAACTCAAGTCTAATTTATACATTCAGAACATAATCCACAAGGAATTCACAACACTATCTTGACTAAAACACCAGGAAATCATATGCTCACATAATTGAGATAAGGATTTATAATAAGAAACCTGCATGTTAAAAGCAACCATTTGAGCTCCATGCATCCATCCAATCAGTGGGTTGTAGTTGGATGAGTTTACACGAATACCCTTTGGGTAGACTCTAAGAATATTCCTCTGGGTGAACCTACACTAAAAGTAAAAATATGAGAAACCCTTCATCACTTGGTTGAAGTTTCAGACTATTTACAAAACCCATGTACATTGAATAGTTGTGAAGATGTGCATAACTTGATTGAAATTATTATCCAATTCATTAAATTGGGATTTGGGAAGTTATGATTGCTTTTGATGAAATTCATAAATAGTTTCCCTAATTGAACTAGAAGTTCCCAAGGAACCATGCATAGGACTGAAAAAAGTGAAAAGGGAACCCCCAAATAGACCAGCAACACCTAACATATCAAATGGGTGCATAAGAGAACCTGACAATTTCTCTTCCATGAGTTTCTGCAGCATCTTCAAGTTGCTCCTCACTTAAGCTGAGTCGTCTCACTTTTTCAGAATCCACTTTCAGGCTTACATCTAAACCACCTTTAGGCTTCCCAGCATGAATGGTAATTATATGTTTATATTCAGGGGCTACTTTTCGGCTCGAGTTTATATCTCCATCTTCCTCATCATCGCTATCTTCATCGGGTTCATTCTGCAAGAAAAGGGCAAAATATTGAAAACTTTCAATATATAAATTTTTATTAAATATCTCTACACACCTTGTCATCAGCTTGAATGTGGCAAGATTTTTCACTCTCCATATCACCCTGCTTTTTAATTTCTTTTCCCTCAAGGTATTCCTTTGGAGGTTTGGTTGATATGAGAATTCGTTTCTTCAACAATTCTGGGGAGGGAAATTCCTTTAAGCTTACTAAGCCAGGAGTAAACAGAATGTCTCCAAAGGTTTGAGTGACCATCTACAGATTGATAAAAGGATAATCAATCATTATTGTATGCGATGCATGAGCTTCAAAGCGATATAAAGCATAATCAGAATATCATAGAAAGTTTTAATCACCCTATATTCATTATTAGGATATAGAGTGAATTGAACCATCCTTCCAAGCAGGCCCTCAAAGATAAGGACTCACCTCAGCCACTTTAGCCTGAAGATCAGGTGTGAGGTGGTCTTCTAAGGTGATGATAACTGGATAATCTGATGCAATAAATGCATACTCCTTGATAGACTTTAGGCATCTGATAAGCTCCACGTGAGATGTCAGTGTCCTACAAAGAGTAAACAGGGCAAGTATTTAGAGAAGAAAAAATGTTAATTAATGTGTTGAATATCCTAATAAATCAACTAAAGGATGTCTAGGTTGACACTTTACCTCCCATGATAAACATGAACATCATCTCCAGATGAACTAGGCCATATGTCCAATTCAATCACTCTCACACCTCGTTTCAACGCATCTATAATGGGAGCATCGCTGCTGTCACTGCTAAGTTGATTTCCAGTCAGATATGAATTGTGCCCAGTAAATACGAAATATTGAGACAGAGGGGCATTCATATCATGGTGCACCTGAAATCCCCCCAGAATAACACTAAAATACATTAACAAATATCTGACAAGACAACAGCACCAGAAATGTACTTTTAGAATATTATTATCGTTTTTGTTGTTGTTGTTACACTGACTCTCTCCTAATTTGTTTGTCCAAATATTATGAATTTTGATCATTAAATAATTCAAAAAGCATTAAATTATGTGATATGATGAAAATGGTTTGATAACATTTTCCTTTCAAAATACTTCAATAAATTTATTTTATCATAATTTTTTAAAATTTGTGTAATATAACAACAATCATATGGTGGAGAGAGTATAATTTCTTGCACATTTGTATTAAATTTGTATGTGTGTCTATATATGTATGTATGTATGTATGTATGTATGTATGTATATATGTATGTATGTACGTACGTACGTAGGTAGGTACGTAGGTACGTACGTAGGTATGTATGTATGTATGTATGTATGTACGTACATACGTATGTATGTATGTATGTATGTGTATGTATGTATGTATGTATGTATGTATGTATATACACATATATAGGGGCCGGTCCCCGTGATAATGCACCTTGTGGAGAGAAATGAGAATAAAATCTAGCCGTTGGATCTGATGCATCGTGCGGCTCAGATTGCATTCTGCGCTCAGATTTTGAGATAGTACATTTTCAAAGGATTGTGGTGCATTTCGACATGATGCATTTTCAAAACATTTTGGTGCACCTGATTTTGATGCAATTCTGACCCTTAGATCTCACAATCTAAAGCACGAGATTCATTCTCATTTCTCTCCTAAGATCGCATTCTCACCAGAACCAACATCTACATATATATACATATACATACATATATATATATACACACACACACACCATTATTAAATGCTAATTAAATGCTAACCCATAATTTATTTGGAAAATGCTAGTCACAAACAAATAGTTCACAAACTCCACAAATTTACCTTTTGTGAATTTTAAATTAAATAATCTTTTTTATCTAAGTGCATCTTATTTCTATAAAAATGTTAAAAAGGCAAGTTAGTGAATTTTGTGAATTCTTTGTTTGTGACTAGCATTACTCTCATTATTTTTCAACACTGATTTGAACTCCATTAAGTCAAACATCTAAGTTTATTAGGGGAAAGGGGAGAGTATTTTATCAGAAGCAATACAAATTATGGGCAACCACAACCCACAAACAAAGAACAGCAAAACTTCTGAATATAAAATAACACAAAATGTAAATCAGAAAATAAGGGCGAGACAAGTGTACCCCACGGTTAAGAGGGAGAGGAGAGTTCAAATCATCGGAGATGTACTTGAAGAACCCGTAAAGATCTAAACCCTGCCCGGCCTGCACACCAATTTGTTGAAACAATGCAATCGCATCATCCCTTGTAGAATCCAGCTGCTTTTGGATCTCAATGAGGAATCTGTGGAAATGATCGATGGTCACGATCCCATTATCCGAGTAATCGGCGAACAGTGCCTTGATCGCCGCCGGCGCCTCCGCCTGCAGCGGTGCCATCTCGAAAAGCTCCGGGGAAATGGGGCAGTGGCCGTGAGTAAGTTAACGGCGGTGTGCTCCGTAGGAAATGGCCATGGCATTGACCTTTCGCCATTTATTAATACGGGAAGTAGTTTACACGAGAGTCGTTGAATGGCGTTTTCGTTGGATAAATTTGTGGAAGGAGTGCCTGCTGGTACTTGCACCTACGTTATCCACGAGACCCTTGGCGTTTCTTTTAATAATCACAAATTTAGTGTATATTAATAGGGACTATCTGGTTTTTCCGATTAATATTAGCGTTTTGGATAAATTTTAATAATATAGATTAATTTTAAAAATGTTAAAGCTAAAGGTTATTCATAGATAACATTTTCAAAATGCTAATGATATTTCCAAAGAAGCCCGATGTCATTAAAAATATTGAATGTTCTAAACAAGTTAAATTTATTAAAATTATTTTTTCAATGTTATTGACCCAATTATAGTATGATGTAGTATCCGTTCATATTTTTTTAAGTTAATGATACACAATGAGCCAACATCTCCACCTCTAATTTTACATTTTTTATGGATGCTTTCTTATTGCAACAAAAAATCAAACCAAGATTATTCCAAAGCTTAAAATAATGAGTACTCACGTGAAATAGTATAACATGTGCAATATCATACAATCGATTGTACGGTGTTTCCTGTACATCCGTGACGAGTATTTATTTACGAGTAACTGAATACTCATTTTCGAATAACTGAATACTCATTTTCAAATAAGTGATACCCATTTTTCTAAAATTCAGGCATGCTAAAAAATGAGTATTCACTTATTCCAAAATGAGTCAACTAGTTATTTGATTGATTCTTATCGTGTGTGTGGCATGTTAGAGTATACATATACCATATATCCAGATATATGTTGTCTTCTATACATTCACATGAATATTTGATTTTCTAAAATTCAGGCATGCTAAAAAATGAGTATTCATTTATTCCAAAATGAGTGTTCAGTTACTCGAAAATGAATATTCATGTGAATGTACAGAAGACATCATATATCTGGATATATGGTATAGGTATACTCTAACATGCCACACACACGATAAGCACATAAATACGATACATATGACATATTTTTTGTCTTGTGTAGTACATGAAATAAAGATTCTTCAATATCCAAAAAAAAGATGTTTTCTTTCTTTTGTTTAGTTGGAGAGAAAAGTAAGAGAAAAGAAATCTTGATAATGTAAAATGACTATTTATCTTTGTGTGATAATGAAATACTCAGGGTAATGTGTAGTTGTAAGGGTAAATAAGTAATCATGCTACTTTTTTCTCCAATTCCATTGCTCCATTTTCTCACCTGCAAAGGGGAGAATACTTTTCCCCTTCCATCCTTTCCTCTTTTTTCTTCTCTCTTTATTTTCTCTTCACTACAAATGTGAGAAAGAACATTTAAATGTGAGTTTTTTCTTTCTCAATTTTCTTTCTCATCAAATTCTCATCATCCAATTAATGGGAAGGAGAACCCAACTTGTACAACACTTCTGCCACACATTTATTTATGATTAATCCGTCTCTGACAACTAAAAGAGAATTCATTTGTTCCCCCTCAGTTCCAAATTAATTTTTTTTTGCTTTTTCACAGAGTTTAGAAACAAATGAGACTACTCGATTAAAAATCTATACAGAGAAGAAAAAATCAAGTTCAACGACTTTTTTTTGAAAACGTAATCCATTCCTTTTAAAGATTAAGAAATTTATTTCAAAACAATTAAAAAGAGATAAAAAAATTATTTTGAGAGGAGGAACACAAGTAGGGGTGTAAACGAACCGAATCGAAGCGAATATCGAGATATTTGAGTTTGTATTTGTTTACTTTTTTTGAATACGAATCCGAATCCGAATATGAGACGAATTAAAAATAAGATTTGAATTTGTATTTGATTAATATTCGAATACTTAACGAATCCTAAACGAATATCTTAATAATTATACTCCATAATTTATATGATGGACCAACGTAGATTTTGAATAATTTAACTTACGATACTTCTTATACTATATCTAAAAACATTAATACATTTTCATCTTACACAAATTATATTTTATAAAATATAACTAAAAATCATATGCTTTAGATTTTCTTGATACGTTAATTTGTTGACTTCTAGCTTAGTAATTTAAATACATTTTATACTATATTAATTTACTTGACTATTGATGTTGAAACATAGTTTGTGGGTATATACATATATTCGAATATTCGAATATCACCCGAATCGAATATACTCATATTTGTATTTGTATTTGTTTAATATTCGAATCAAAACTAATATTTGAATTTGAATTTGTATTTGAATAATGCAAATTCGAATCATTATATTCGAATACAAATCACGAACCGAATTAAAAGTATTTGATTTGTTTACATCCCTAAACACAAGTACTCAAGTAGTAGTCAAAATTCACTCTCGAACATATTCTTGGCAAAATTGACAAGAATACTCCCACAAATTACAGATTTTACATAAATACTCCCAAATTTGTTTCTTTACATCATTACTCCCACATTAATCTTTTATTTACATCATTGCTCCCAAATTTGGTAGTGAACATTAGTGTTACTTGAATGTGTTTTTTTTGCGCTAAGTGAGCAGTTAAAATGCAGATATGTATTTTTTTCATTAAAATATAACAAATTCACCTCAAATTATTCTCTCCATCGACTTTCTCACGTCTTAGTAAGCCTAATCATTGCCCTTATTTCCATCACTTTTTAAAAAAAATTTAGATTTCAAACTTTCTAAATGTTTTTAATGTTTAATATCAAGTGTGTTCATATTAATTTAATTTGAATTCAATAAAAAAATGATGAAAAACCCCGTTTAAAAAGATGCATCCGAGGAACACTGACGATGAAGCAATCGCGGAGTAATGACGTAAATAACAGACAAATGTGGGAGTAACTATGTAAATAAACAAATTTGGGAATATTTATGTAAAAACTGAAATTTCTGGGAGTATTCATCTGAATTTTGCTCATATTCTTTCGGACACACAATCCATATGATCCATCCATAAGTTGACCCGTCAGATTTTACTTGTAACAAATTGAAGCATGGAGGACAAAGAAAAGGGACGTACTATTGTGTACTCCCGTATCACAATTTGATCTCTCCCCCCATAAAGCTGCCAACTTTAACCATCTTCCTGTGAACCCTCTCTCTCTCTCTGATCCGATGCCAGTACAATTATAGTTATTGATGTGATTATATGTGAAATGGACACTTCTCTTTCATGATCTCCCAGTCTTCATATGTACCCTCCACTCTGCCCCATACGCTTTGTATGAGTAACAGCGACAACAAACCCACCTGCTTCCTGTTGCAATGGCGATTCGCCTCCTACCCACCATACTCTGCTTCTTTCCCCTTCTCTCTCCCGGAGCTTCCTTCTCCGGGCGAAACCCAGAGGGGGATTTCTTGATTTCGTTCAAGAATTCTCTTCATACCCCTGAAATTCTCTCTTCCTGGACCCCTCTAGTTCCCCATTGTCGCTGGGATGGAGTTCTCTGCCGGGACGGAGAAGTCGTCTCCCTTGTTCTTTCGTCCCTCGCTCTCCGGGGACCTCTCTCGCAGTCAATTTTCTCTCTTTCCAGCCTTGTCGTCCTTGATCTCTCGTCGAATCTTCTTTATGGGAGTGTTTCGCCACAAATCTCCGGGTTGAAGAGGCTCAAGGTTCTGGACTTGGGGGGAAACCAGTTCTCCGGCGAGGTTCCCGGGCAAATCAGAGAGTTGACTCGTTTGGAGATTGTAAAACTCGCGGCCAACCTTTTCACCGGGAGAATCCCGCCGGAGTTGGGACACTTGGCCGGTCTCCGTTTTCTGGACCTTTCCGGCAATGGGTTCTCCGGCGGCATACCCACCCAGCTCGGGAACCTAACCCAACTCCGGGTCCTCTCTCTGGGGAGCAATCTTCTCTCAGGTTCTCTCTCTCCGCATCTGTTTTCAAGGCTTCCGTCCTTAACCTCTCTGGACATCTCTAACAATTCCCTCTCCGGCACAATACCGCCGGAGATTGGAAATTTGACCGCCCTGACGGAGCTTTACATCGGCATCAACCATTTCTCCGGCCAGTTGCCCCCGGAAATTGGGTTCCTTTCAAACCTTCAAGACTTCTATTCATCTTCAACTTCACTCACCGGCCCATTGCCGGAATCTTTCTCAAGCCTCAAGTCCTTATCCAAGCTCGACTTGTCTTACAACCCATTGAAGTGCTCCATCCCGGAGTCAATAGGGAAGCTTCAGAATTTAAGGATTCTCAACCTGGTGTCCTCCCAGATAAGGGGTTCTATCCCTCCCACTCTGGGAAAGTGCAGAAAGATGAAGACTCTGGTTCTTTCCTTCAACTCACTCTCCGGCCCACTCCCTGAGGAGCTTTCTGAGTTCAGAGAATTGCTAGCGTTTTCCGTGGAAGAGAATCAGCTCTCTGGCGAATTGCCTTCTTGGCTGGGGAAATGGACGCAGATCGACTCGCTGTTGCTTTCCGGCAACAGATTTTCCGGCAGAATCCCGCCTGAGATTGGGAATTGCTCATCCTTGACCATGATTAGTCTCAACAACAACTTACTCAGTGGTCCAATCCCCGGAGAGCTGTGCAATGCTGTTGCTCTCACAGATGTTGATCTGGGCAGTAATTTTCTCTCTGGAACCATATCTGAGACATTTATTAACTGCGGCAATTTAACTCAGTTGGCATTGGTGAACAATCAAATTCACGGGACGATGCACGGTTACCTCTCAGATCTTCCTCTCATGGTTCTTGATCTGGATTCGAACAATTTCACGGGTTCCATCCCAACCAGTTTCTGGAATTCTTCAAGCTTGATGGAGTTTTCTGCTGCAAATAACCACTTGGAGGGGAGGCTCCCCATGGAGATTGGAAATGCCAAGTCTCTGCAGAGGCTCGTCCTTAGCAACAACAGAATAAGTGGGGAAATTCCTCCAAGCATTGGCAGTTTATCCTCACTCTTAGTCTTGAACTTGAATTCCAATCTTCTTGGAGGCGCCATACCCGCTGAGCTTGGCCACTGTCTCTCCCTTTCGACATTAAATCTGGGTAACAATGAACTGAACGGCTCAATCGTTGAGGGAATTCCCAATTTGCCCCAGCTCCAGTGCTTGGTTCTCTCCCACAATCGTCTCACGGGGCACATTCCTTCTAATGAGAATCCCAAGTATTTTCGCCAAGACACAATCTCAGATTCCACCTATGTTCAACACCGTGGAGTGTTCGATCTTTCGTTTAATCAGCTCTCCGGGGAAATCCCAGAAGAGCTGGGGAGTTGTTTGGTGATAGTGGATCTTCTGCTTAGCAATAACCGGTTCTCTGGGCTGATTCCTAAGTCTCTTTCCCAGTTACCTAACCTCACAACACTAGACATGTCTGAGAATGAGCTTAGAGGTGAGATTCCAATGGAGTTTGGTCATGCTCTAAGTCTGCAAGGGTTATATCTGGGGAAAAATCGTCTCGCCGGAGCAATGCCGGAAAGCTTAGGACTCTTGGTCGGTTTGGTGAAGTTGAACCTGACCGGGAATAAGCTTTCTGGCCAAATCCCATCCAGTTTTGGGAATCTCCATTCTCTCACTCACTTGGACTTGAGCTCCAACCTTCTTGAAGGTCATCTTCCCCAATCGCTCACAAACATGGTGAATATTGTTGGATTTTACGCCCAGCAAAACAGACTCTCCGGGCACTTAGATGAGCTTTTCACGGCTTCTACAGTTTGGAGAATTGAGATTCTGAATTTAAGCAGTAACAGTTTTTCCGGCGGCCTGCCGCCGTCTCTTGGCAACATGTCGTACCTCACGTGTTTGGATCTTCACGGGAATGGTTTTGCCGGAGGGATTCCTGGTGAGTTTGGGAATCTGACCCAGCTTGAGTATTTGGATTTGTCTGGGAACAGACTCTCCGGTCGGATCCCCGACCCCATTTGCCATCTCCCCAACTTGAATTTCTTCAATTTCGCGGAGAACGATCTCGCTGGTCCCGTCCCAGGAATCAGAACCTGCCAGAATCTCTCCCGTGTTTCTGTTGCCGGCGGGAACAGGAATTTAGAACTGATATTATCAGCGGTCATGGCCGGAACTCTAACCATCACAGTTTTGGCAGTGTTTCTGCTGAGGAGGAAGAAATGGAAGCCCAAAAATGGAGGTGGAGGAAGAAGAAGAGGCTTTGACGATGACGACGACGATGATCCCGAGAAACCCCGGGGCGGCGACGGCTCAGCCATCGATCGACGCCTCTACTTCCTGACAAACGCCAAATCGAAAGAGCCACCGAGCATCAACATCGCCATGTTCGAGCAATCTCTCCTGAAGATCACGCTGGTCGACATCCTCGAGGCGACCGACAACTTCTGCAGAACAAACATCATCGGCGACGGAGGGTTCGGAACCGTGTACAGAGCCACGCTCGCCGACGGGAAGACCGTCGCCGTAAAAAAGCTGAGCCACGGCAAAACCCAGGGGACCCGCGAGTTCCTGGCGGAGATGGAAACCCTGGGGAAGGTCAAGCACCCGAACCTAGTTCCATTGCTGGGCTACTGCACGTTCGGGGACGACAAGGTCCTGGTCTACGAGTATATGGTCAACGGGAGCTTGGACTTCTGGCTGAGGAACCGGTTGGGACCGCTCGGGTTACTCGGGTGGGGAAAGCGGTTCAAGATCGCGGTCGGGGCCGCTTGCGGTTTGGCGTTCTTACACCACGGATTCACCCCGCATATCATCCACAGGGACATGAAGCCCAGTAACATTCTGCTGGACCAGGACTTCGAGCCCAAAGTGGCGGATTTCGGCCTGGCCCGGTTGATCAGCGCGTGCGAGACGCACGTGAGCACGGACATCGCCGGCACGTTCGGGTACATCCCGCCGGAGTACGGGCAGACGGGGAGGTCGACGACGAGGGGTGACGTGTACAGCTTCGGGGTGATCCTGCTGGAGCTGTTGAGCAGTAAGGAGCCCACCGGGCCGGAGTTCAAGGACGGCGAGGGGGGGAATCTGGTGGGCTGGGCCTCGAAGAAGATGAAGAAGGGCCAGGCCGTGGATGTTCTTGACCCGGAGATTCTGGACGCCGACTCGAAGCCCATGATGCTCCAGACACTGCAGATCGCGAGTCTGTGCCTCTCCGACAATCCGGCAAGCCGGCCGACGATGCTTCAGGTGGTCAGGCTGTTGAAGGGAATCAGAGATGATTAGTTAGTGCTTAACTCAATTTATGTATTTTTGTATTACGCTAACTATTATTGTGTTAATTAAAAATCCCACTCTGTTCCTCTTTGATTTGAATCGACGACTGAGAGCCATCATCGCCCAGGTAGACAGACACGCTTCTTATTAGGGTCCGTTAGGAAGATAAAAGGGCAGCCGCATGATTGCATATTACCCATGCACACGGCCCATTCCCTTCAACTTATTTTTTCTTATTCTTATTAAAATCAGATCAGATCAGATCGAATCAGATTAGATGAGATCGAATAAGATCAGATTCAATCAGATCAGATCAGGACTTATTAAAATCAGATCTCATCAAGAATTATTATTATTATTATTATAATCATCATCATCATCATCATCATTGTTCTTAAAAATGAAAAAAAAATAAACTTTAGAAATACGTTAAATAGAAAACTAAGAAAGTAATCCTTAATTATTAGACGTCGGAAAATTTAGTTTTAAAATATATTGACAATGTTAATCTAATATACTTTTAAAATATATTTTTATTGCTACTTGTAATTTGAGTTTCTAAACTTTTGATCTTTTATAAAGATGAGATATTTTAATAAAAATACTATCTCTTCTATATATTGATTATCTAAATTTAATTAGTTTTTAATGTATATCTAAATTAAATATTTATTCTAATGTATAATTCTAATTTTATAAAAAAATTATCATAAAATAAAAAATATTATTACATTATCAAATGAATGATTATTCTAATATATGAATTAACTATTTTTATTTTATTAAAAAATAATCATTAAATAAAAAAATTGATTATATAATAATATATATTATCATTAAAATTTTCAAACGTTATTATAAAGTTAAATTAAATTATTGATTTGAAATTTTAAATTAAATCATAATTATTCATATCAGACCAGATCAGATCATATCAGATCAAATCCAATCAGATCAGATCAGATCCAATCAGATCAGATCAGATCAGATCAGATCAGAACAGATCCAATCAGTTCAGACCAGACCAGATCAGGTCAGAACTTATTAGAATCAGATCAGAAAAAATAAGTTGAACGGAACGGAGCCTAAATAATGTAATTCCTTAGATTTTTTTTTGAAGGCATGTAATTCCTTAGATAGATCAAGAGTTTCCAATCAATGGTGCTTAGAGGAGTGCACTTGGCTCGGAATAAATTACCCTATACGGAGTATTTTTTTTCCTTCTTTTTGAAAAGTCAATTCTTTTGCTTTTCTATATAGTACTCCTGTACTAAAATTAATTTTCTAATTTGACTTTTGCAGGCAAGTTTTTTAAACTTTGACAGTATATTACGAAAAAAATATATGGAGTTTTCATATAAATTTATTAGAAATAAATTCATTTTGAAACATAGTTTTGAAATATATAATTTTTATACAATATATTTATATAAAAATTGAGTTATTGATAGTCAAAGTATCATATTGGACATTGTGAAAAGTCAAATGAGAAGTTAATTTTAGAACGGATGGAGTATAGATTTTTGTCGATACATACATTTTTGTACTCCTTTCGTCTTCTTTAAAACCTCCAGGTCTGACTTTACACGAGTTTTAATATAATATTTAAATATCTTTGACATTCCAATTTTAAGTTTTAAAATATAATTTTTAAACTTTAAATTTTAAGTTTAAAATTTAAATATTTAATGTTTAAATATTTGTTTTCAATTTCTTTTTTTGAATTTTTATTCTTATTTTTTTAGATTTGAGTTTAATTACTTTAATATTTGATTTGTAACATGTAATTTGATATTTCTAAATTCTAATTTTTAGTTTTAAATTATAAATTTCAAATGCTAAATTTAAACTTCAATTGCCAAATTTTAAATTTCAAATTTTAAATTTGAAAATACTAATTTCTAATTTTAAATTTTAAATATTTTATTTTTATTTCTTTAATTTAAAATAATAATTTTTAATATTTATTTCAAATTCTAAACTTTAAAAGTTTAATTTTATATTTTTAATTTTGAGTTTTTTTAGGTTTTAAATTTTATTTTAAATTTATTTACTTTTAATTTTAATGTTTTATTTTTTGATTTTAAAATTTTATATTCTTAATTTTAAGTTTTAAATTTTAAACCTTAAATTTATAATTTATAATTTTTTGTTTTTAAATTTCAATTTTTTAATTATAGGTTTCTAAATTTTAATCTTTAGTTCTTATTTTTAAAATTTATATTTCTACTTTTTAAGTTAAATTTTAAATCTTTATTTTTTGTTTTTAATTTTTTATGTCATTTTCCAAGCGCACACAAAGTCTATAAGACCCGTTTCATTGTGATGACTCGAAAAGAATTTGCATGATTTTAGTATGATTGCAAAATATTTTTCTTAGAAAATATTTTCCCACCAATCAAACACACCTTAGAAGAAAAACATCTGAGGGGAGTAAATGCAATTCTATTAACACGAGTACACGACATGATTAGATGAACAAAGAAGAGGAAGTGTTTGTTTTGAAGTTAAATGACTTTCAGTCTTTCACTCTAATCCCCCCCAAAAAAAATGTTACAACTGGTATGGTTGCTTACTTGCTTCACTTTCTTTAACAACCCTGATCTACGAAGGAAACAATTATGCCCTAGAAAGTGGGATAGAAAGAATACACACACACACATCAAAACACCCAAATCATCAAGAAACGTACAAGATTCCATGCCGATACAAAGCCAGAACTGTTGAATTCACAGCGGCGCAAACAAAGACAACCCACCAAGCCATAAACAAGGGCACTTCTTTATCCAACAAAGGGCAAGGCAACAGACTACTAACCCATGGGAAACTTGCGGTCAGCTCATCCGCGCCAATCTCAGACAAAGCATTGAAGAGAAGCACCATTGAAGCAGGCACGAAAAACTGCAAAGCCACGAGACATAGATGATGGTTGTGAAGGAAAACCTTGGCCCTGCTGTAATCCAACTCGGGGACTTTGCTGCAATGCAGTCTCTGGTACCAGCATAGAACTGCTTCGTTCAAGTACATTTGGACGTTTGAACGAAGAGTCGCAATCTGAAGAATACCCGCAGCAAATAAACACCAGTGTCGAAATCTATCAAAGTCTGATGTAGACATGCCCACATTCCCAACCAGCTTGGTTGAAGCAGACCGGACTTTCTTATGATCAAGATTCTTGTTCACGAGTAGCTCCGTAAAAGGACTAATCCAAAGCAATGAAGCAAAGAGGATCAACAGATAGTTGGCGTAAAGAAGCATTCTTGCAAACCACCCACAAGAGATTATAGACAAATTGCAACGAGTCTGGTCGGTTCCAAGCCAAAATGACCGGGCAGTCCTTGATGCCGGGGTATAAAGGAGGCCGGAAACGCAGCCCATGAACAGGGAAGTAAGGAGCTTCCCGAAACCATCCAATGATCCAAAAGCAAAGTCAAGAATCCATTTAGGAACAACACCATAAACTATGATCAGCCCCAGCACAAACCCAAAAATCCCAATCAGAAAACTCAATTGCTTCTCTACACTCTTGGAAGCAGACCTCTCAAAAGCAGTCCTCGCCAATAACAGAATAACCCTACACAATGCAAAACATCCTAACAAAACAGGAACCACAGATCCATTTCCTAAAACCCAGGAATATCCGAATTCCTGGGAGACCCGGGAAAGCAAGAAGCAGGAAAGAGCAACAAAAGTGGAATTGAAGGAACCCTTGAACTCACTGAAATAAATTCTTGTTTGGAGGTGGGAGCCTACGAGCTTCAGCCGAAAGATCTGAGCTTTATTCTCATCGAATTCGAAATTCTGCTTGGGCTTTTTCCTGGGCTTGGGTTCGGAATCAACACTGCCCGGGCGCCGAATCGCAGCCCGGACACCATTTGAAGAAGAAGAAGAAGAAGATGGATTGACGTCGTCTGGGTGGATATATGTGAAGAGGCCATTGAGAAACAGATCGAAGATGCTGAAGAAGTGGAGGAGGAGAGCGAGGGAGGAAGCGAACGCCGCTTGGATGATGAAGCTTCTGTATGAGGAAACAAGTGCGGGTAGAGAAGAGAGCATGACGATCTTATCATAGATCCGGAGGAAGGCTATGGCTGTTCAGGTGGGATTTGCAGTTTAGGGAATGGGAGGAAATGGTCGAGAATATGGATTTGATCGATTTGTTGGGCTATTGAATTTCTACAATCTCTTGAACCTCGGAATCAATGTAGTTTTACCTATATGGTATCCATCCCTTCCAAATTAAATATTTCTAGAATATTTATTTAATTTTAACTTTTTATTATAGTCATCTATTGTTAAATAAAAATTATATAGTATATCAGTTAGATAAAAATATTTTATGAGATAAATGTAAGAAAAATATTTTTATACTAATATTTAATATCAATTTTATTTATTTAATTTATGGTCGGTATTTTTTAAATTTTAATTGAAAAAGTTTAAAAATGAACAAATAGGTTGGAAAGGAGATAATATATCCTTCTCGATGAAGAAGGTTAATTAAGTTTGTTTTTAATTTATTTTGATTCAAAAATGATTTAAAATTTTAAAATAAAATTTACTCTCTTTGTCTTGTACTCCATAAGTCGCCAAAAAAAGTTTCACTTTTTACTTTAGGAAAAAATTGTGTGGGTATTATTATTTTTCTTTCCATCATTTCCAACCACAAAATTCATTTTTTTAATCTTCGTGTCTGGTCAATTATGAAATATTATTGCGGGACAAAAGGAGTACATAATAAACCTTCTAATATAAAAAGTGACATGATTATATTATTTTTAACAAATGAGTAACAAAAATAAATAAAGAAAAAAAATTGACATGTGAATAATAATGTGAGACAATTTATTAGAGAAACAAAAAATGATACTTCCTCTCTCAAAATAAAGTTTCTAACTTCTTTAAATGATTGTTCCAAAATATTATTCTCCTTTCTAAAAAAATGAAGCTTTTTTATGTGTTGACAAATACTATATCCTTTATGTACTCTTCCCTGTTGGTGGACATAGCTCCAAAGGGCAAATACTTCACATTCAAAGTGGCGATTAAATAGTTACTACAGTACATATTTATTCATCCGAAAAAAATTACTCTCCGTTCCCAATTTGATTACAAATTGGGATTTACTATGAGAGATATCTCACTTTTTGAAATCATTTTATTTACAAATTGGTATATCGATAAGAAATAAAAATTACATGTTAAAAACCCACGTCAAAAGTTATACAAAACAAGAGGTGAAAAGAATATTTTATTTTATCAAATAGTTAATAAAATCGCTTAAATAAATAAAAGTTATCGAGAAGAGAGAAAAAAAATTACAGTATAATCAAATTGGAGACGGATGGAGTATTGAGTTTAGGCATTTTCCATGATCCAAATAGCATCGTAAATGGCACAAATAAAATTGATTTTGACACTCATGAACCAGAAGATCATCCCCACACTGGAAGCTACATTCAAATTTTAAAAAAGAAGGATATTATAAAGGTTTTAAAACCATAAAGAAATCTGTATACCTAAAAATGGATAAACCCTAAAAGCAAACTAAAACCAACATTAACCAAGTGGAAAATTGCTAAACTTGATAACCCTATGAATGAATAGTAAGTCTTCAACATTGGTATTTGGAATAGCGGATGATAATGTGAACACTTTGCTTTTTTCATATTTTTTTTCTCATGGTCAAATCAATTCCCCTAGCTAGCCGCTAGAGGCTTACAATCATATTTTCAAATAAAAAATAAACAGTAACCACAAAAGAAGTTTGTATGTACCAGAACTTGCCTCTTTCTCCATCATACTTGAAATAAGGGGTAAAAACCAAAACTTAGCGAACTTGGAAGAAAGATCATGAGAGAGGGAAGAAAGTTCAATCCTGCATCAAAAACCAGTATATTCAAGAACTGAAGGGTAAAAGTACAAAGACAGAGAGGGAACAAATTGCAATTACCTAGGCAAATGTAATAGCCCCCCCTTGTACAATTAGGGAGATATATATATTTGACACTGAAATAGACAAAATATTAGCATGGTCATCTTTCAATACCTATTAAGCTAAGCATATCCTCGGGTGGGTCATGGTTGCCATAAAGGGATACACCTGTAATCAAACACTTTTGATAATCGAAATTGGCATACCTTAAGAGACTGAAGTTACATTACTTCTTTACTACCATTATCAATTATGTACAGAACAGGAAATATTAGACAAAACAACAAATGAAAGAACCGAAAACATGCCACTACTAAATTTGATGTGCGTCAAGATTGCATGTGTCCGGCCAGATTTAGTTGAACAAAAAAATTGTTTGAGGTTACCCGTAATCAGGACTGGACTAAGATGCTCGGCCCTCTCCTCTAGGCATTTTCTTTGAGCCATGGTCTTCAACGTCCTTCAACTGATAGTAGTGAGGAGCTATTTCTACCAGCCATTCAGGCTTTAGTTCTGTGACCTGTCGCATGTACTCTTTGGTGGTATGAACAAGCTCATGATAGACAACCCATCTAGGAAGAACCTGCGCTAGACCAGAGCTGGGATGGATGTGAACAGTCAAGGGAAGCTTAACGGTTCGATACGATCCATTTTTTTGAAGCCTTGCTGAGTGAGGAAAGAACCCAGATGTTATAGACTTCTTTATAGCATCTAGATCATTGAGATTTGAAGTCAACTCAATTTCTACTCTTTCTAGAAGGCCCTCTAATTGATCTCTGATGTCTCTAGCTCTCTTCATGCTTCTGACCTGTATGTAGTTTTCATAGCACCACTGGGTTGAAAAATTAGTTTCCTTCCAGGAATTGTAAACCTTCAGTAATGCAACATGATCTCCAACATTACCCATATGGAAATTCAATCGTGCATTGTCAGCATGCACTTGTTTGTCCTTTGGACGATAAAAGATCGAATTTCCAATAGAAAGCATTGCTGCAATACTTATGATCTCATCAGAGCATTTATACTTTTCAGAAGCAACAATCATCTTCGAGAGCATAGGGTCAAGAGGGAACTCCGCCATTCTTCTGCCAACTTTTGTCAGTTCACCATGCTTACTAAGAGCACTTAGAGCAAAAAGCACTTCCAATGCTTTTAGAAGAGCTTCAGCTGGTGGCGGATCCATAAAATCAAAATTTACCAAGTCATGAATGCCCAGACTTTTAAGAGAAAGCACAACATTTGCCAGGTTAGTCCTCTGAATCTCTGGAACTGTATTGTCTTCCAAATCATTTAAGTAGTTATAAGCAGTGNAGATGCCTTTGAAATGGGAGTGACATGTAATGATTCCATGCCAGTACGGGGGTTATATGACTTAACCTTACAAAACCCAGGATCAATAACATATTTGATCCCATCAATCGTCAGCGACGTTTCCGCAATATTTGTAGCAAGGACAACCTTACGCGCCCTTTCAGGAGTAGGTTCAAAAATTTTGGCTTGTAGCTCTGTTGGCAGATTAGCATATATTGGGCAGATAATTAGCTCTGCTATTTTTGTTCCCAGACCCTTGATCCTGTGCTTAATGATCTCCTCAGCTGTCTCAATTTCTTCCTGCCCAGTTAAGAAAACTAATATATCGCCATCACCAGGTGGTTGGGTCACATGTATCTGAAGTGCAGTGACAATGGCTGCATCCAAGTAATCTGCCTCAGGTGCTTTAGTATAGTGTATATCCACTGGAAACCGCCTTCCGGGTATTTTAAAAATGGGAGCTGAATCAAAATAGTCACTGAACTTCTCGGCATCTAGAGTAGCACTAGAAATAAGCAACTTGAGGTCAGGACGGAAACGAGCAATATCCTTAACCAAGCCAAAAAGAATATCTGTTGATAATGTTCTTTCGTGCGCCTCATCCACCATGATAACACTATAACTTGCCAAATCAGGTTCCCCAAGGAATTCACGCAACAACATCCCGTCTGTCATATACTTTAGAATGGTCTTCTCTGAAGTGCAATCTTCAAATCTGATTGAATAGCCAACCTCATGTCCAAGTTTGACTCCCATTTCTTGGGAAACACGAGCAGAAACACTCATGGCAGCAACTCGGCGTGGCTGAGTGCATCCCACCTTGCCACGCTTGGTGTACCCTGCCTCGTGCAAATACTGAGGTATCTGAGTTGTCTTCCCAGAACCTGTCTCTCCAACAATGACTAGAACCTGGTGCTCATTGATAGCTTGGAGCAACTCATCCCTATATGGATAGATGGGCAAAGTTTTCCTGTCTGCTTGGAGTTTCTCAAATGCCGATTTAGCAACAGATGCTTCCAGTTCCTCAATGGCAGACTCCTGATCAACATTAACTCCGTCCATGACTGCCGCTTTTATGAACTCAATCTGGTCTTCAAATACAAATTGGTAATCTTCAGATCTTGCCTTTCGGTCTTTTGACCCAAATTTGAGTGTAGCTTTGCCAATTTGGTGATCCTCCCATGCTTCTTGTTCAGCAAAGGGGTTCATCTTATCATTAGCATCAGGATCCCTGTAGCGTTGCAATGCAACAGCAAACCTCTTCTCTTGATTTACATCCCCGTCAAGATCATATGCATCGGGAATCCTATACTCGTTTATATTATCTTCGTCCTCAGTACGCTTCTTGATTAGATCATATAACTCTCTCTTGTACCTCATCTCCTTATATTCTACTTCAGTTAACTTCACGGAATCAAACAAGTATTGCTCATCTTCTATCTCATCTCTGAGTTCGTCTAGTTTCTTCTGCTCTCTTTTCTTCAGGTATTCTTGCCTAGAGACTTTCCTCAAAGTTCCAATCTCATCTTGCTCCAAAGCATTAGATCTTCTGATTGCCTCTTCTTCTTCCTTTCTGGACAACTTTTTCTCAGTCAACTTTCTTGTTGAGGCAGCATCCCTTTCCCTTATGTGCCTCTCCAACTCATCTCTCTCCTTTTGGTCACACAGTCTTTCCTCCTCCGACTCCGAGCCACTACTACCATCACTGTCATCATTCCACTTTCGCCTCTTTACCCGCTTTTCCTCTTCTGTTTCCCCTATTTTCTCTTCATCTTCATCTGCATCAGATTCAGCCCTCTTCCTAAATCTCTTTCCACGGCCTTTCTCTCGCTTATTGTCGCGACTGACATTAATATCAGCATCAACGACAACATCATCATCATCTTCCAGAAGAGTGTAAGTATTTTGCTTCTTTGCAAGCATAGCTGCCACCCTTTCTTTCTGTTGATATAGACTTGGACCTTTAGCCTTGTGCTCAACTCTCTGAAAAATCTCTTCTGCAAATGACTTCGTTTCGGGTGTTGAAGATACTCCCACTTCAGTAAGCATACTCAGAAGCTCATTAGGAGAAGAAGCTTTCTTGGCTAAACCAATCACATAATTAACCAGCGTAACTTGAGAGTATCCTAGAACTAATATCAAAGAATCCGACACCCACTTCTTCAAATCACTCCCCACTTGTATTTCAATGAGGTTACAAAATGAGGTTACAGAGGAGCAGAAGTGTTCTTCTTACCCTAAATGCGTGGATCGGAATGCTCTGAATTGGGGCGCTGAATAGAAAGTTCTGATCAGCAGCCTGAATCGAAAATTGGGGACGAAGAGATCGGCGAATAGCGCGAATCCAGTTAGGTTAATGATACGTGCTTGGTCTAATGGTCTCTTATGGCGCTTGGCGGAGAAGAGGAGATCGGCACAGAAGAGAGAGAGAGAATAGGGTTAGGCCTTTGGAGAGAGAATTTAGGAGAAGAGGGATATTTTCATTACTTCTTCATAATCTAAAAATTCTTTCTCTTTTGATTTATTTTAATTATATAGTGACATTTTTTTATATTAAATTAAATATAATTTAAATAAATAAATATTATAAAAATTGATATATCAAACTTATATTCTAAAATTATCCAAATTATTTTAAATTTATATTATAATTCAATATATTTTTCTCATAAGTTTTGGTCAAAGAATGTTATTATTTGACCAAAAAAAAGTCAAGATAGAGAGAGTTTTTAAGACCGGAGGAAGTATTATGGTAGTTCTCCAATCCTACTACTATTGAGGTAAAAAAATCGCATAAGCTTAGAGCATATGGATAATGACAAGTAAGATATGGAATGACACACGATGACGTGAAGTATTTTAGCCAATCAAAATTAGTAAAAAAATCGCAAGTCACTCTTTTTATCATTTTTTTACTCTTTTTAATATATTTTAATTATTAAAAATTATTTTTCTTTTTTTAATAAAATAATAATTGTAATCTTTTAAAAAAATCTCTTTTTACAAAAACAAAGTTGAAAAAAAAGGATAAAAAAACTGAGAACAGATGGCCTCAGCCCTCATGTATGTCTCGCAACTCGCAAGTCAAGGTGGCATTGTCACGCTACGGTTTTTTGACATTTTTAATCATTAAAGAATATTTTAAATATCTTTTTTTCCATAAAAATAAATGTACTCTTTAGGGAAAAAAATTTGTGCAAAAATGAAAAAGAAAGAAAGAAATTGGAATCTCTTGCCTCACACATGCCATGCTAACAGTAGAGGAATGCATCACCCATCCGAAGCAAGTTGAAAAAAATGCATAAACCTATTTGTACCCCAAACTTTTGGACGAAACTTCCGGTATATGTAACAAAGTAATAAGGCATTCCTAGTAGGGTATGTCAGAGGTTTTTTTTCCTTGCAGTGCAACCCGGAGTTGGCTACTCCGTTTAATTTTGAATTATTTTTCTAGACGGGCTGGCTACTTCGTTTGAGCCTGAATTAAAAATAGACGGAGTTGGCTACTCTATTTCGGCCAAAATTAAACAAAGGCGGAGTTGGCTACTCCGTTTGGCCTAAAATAATCATAGACGGAGTAGCGTACTCCATTCAGCTTCAATTCGAAAACCAGATCTATTCCCATCCACTTGTTTTTACCCTCTTCCATTACAGATCTGACCCAAAAAAACGACTAGAGAGGGAGAGAGAACGACGAGGAACGCAGGGGGGAAGAGAACGACGAGGACGCGCCGACCCACCTTGACCGGAGTCAGCTACTCCGTTTCCGTGCTTGGAGGTAGTTTGATTTTTTTTGGTTAAATTTGTTCCAATGATGTAGTAGTTGATCTATATACAAGATTTAGAATTTTGTGAAAATATTGACAAACATATAGTTTAATTTTACAAATTTGGTATTGTAAGATATTTAATTAGTCATAGATTGTATGTATAAGTCGTTACTTCATGATTGTTTTGGATTATAATTGTCTTGTTATATTTTTTATTAATGAATATATTCTTATGTTGTAATCCTTGAAGCAAATGGGTGTACATCCGGGACCTATTTCACGAGATGTTTTAGTACTTGAAACAGAGAGCATATGTGTGATGCGGTTTGGGAGGATGAAGAATATGCTAAAATTGTATTAAAGTGTCACAGGACTTATACTAGTTTGTATACGAGGACTCTTATTGTTAATAGACCGATTCGTGTGATTGAGATTTTATGAGAATACGGATTTTATGGGGTTGAGAAAAGTTGGTGGGTTGCAGTTGGGTAGGGTTTTGATCACTTCTTTAGTGGAGAGATGGAGACCCACGACCAATTCATTCCATCTTCCTTTTGGAGAGGTTGGAATTACTTTGCAGGATGTAGAGGTTTTGCTTGGATTGCCCGTAGATGGGATTCCATTGGCGGGGATGACTAGCCGATCCAGGGATCAGTGGATTCAGATTTGTGAGGACATGATGGGATTTAGGCCTCATACATCCGATATTACATCTACTATGATTAAGATGTCTGCCATTGTTCCTAAGCAACTAACAAATCATAGTATAGATGTAGATTACTGGCAGCATGCCAGAGCCATTATGTTTAAGTTGTTGGGTGGTAGCCTATTTCCTAACACGACGGGAAATAAGGTTAGTTTGTATCTTTTAGAGATTATCATGGGTGACGTAAACATTGTGCGAGGTCCTGCGATTGGTTCGGCAGTAGTACTCAATTTCTTGTACCGTAGTATGTGTCGTGCTGGTGCAATGAGTGCAGCACAGATTGGAGGTTGCCTAGTCTTGTTACAGCTTTGGGCTTGGGAGCGTCTGCCTATGACTAGACCTAGAGGGGTTATACCATTGCATCAGCTCGTAGATGTTCCATATGGAGTCATGTATTTGTAGTTTATTTATGTATATCATAAAATCATATTGTATGTTTCATTCATGGTTGTGCATAATCCTTCACTTGTAGATGGGTGTGTTACCATCGATGGTCAGATTGTACCACACACTCCATACGAGCATACAGGGACCAGCTAGACAGATTGCTCGAGGGAGAGGTGAGTATTCATAATATCATAATGTTATACACACACACACACACACACATAAGTTTTAATGTGTATCTTATTAGTTGTTTATGTATGTAGTTTGTTTGGATGTCGTATCCGGATCTCGAGACCCTAGCGCCATATTGTTCAGCTGGAGTTAGAATATGGATTTCAAGAATCCCCCTGATCTATGTGTGTGTAGTGGAGATGTACTATCCTGATCGCTTTTGCAGGCAATTTGGTGCCCTCCAACACGTCCCTCAAGTTGTTGTCTATGACCGTCATCTACACCACATTAAGTCAAATGTTATGCAAATTGGTGATGGTGAGAGACCGTATTTAGAGGTGTGGGAGGGACGTTATGATGCTACAGTGCCGATGGAGTTTGGGATGGTGGATGCCACACTGGAGTATCGTCAGTGGTACTACCTTCGGGGTCGACGACAGATAGGGAACCCCATCCATCAACACGGACCAGGGTACATGCCCATTTCTCCCGAGCTACAGACTGCAGTAAGTATTCATAAAGTACATAATTCTAAATTATATTTTTTTAAACTAATCAATAATATTGTATGTAGTTATATTGTATGGCGGATTGCAGTCAGCGCCTTGATCCTGGTAGGCATCCAAATGAGTTTGTACCTTCTCACGAGGTATTGAGAGTTCATGAGTTGTTAAGAGAGTGTGTTTATGCTCTTGGACATGCATCTATCCTTGATCACCCACAGGAGGAGCAAGTCTACAACCCAGGACATCTCAGGAGACGGGCAGAGAGAAGGCGTGATGCACCTGCTGTCGGGGTTAAACGTGGAGGGCATGTGTTTTGTAACCTTATTTTTGTGAATAAATTATATGTACTGGATCAATAAATTAGTATTATGTCTAAGTTTATGTTTTATGAATTTCCCAAAATAAATTAGTTATGGCATGTGTTTTGTAACATTATTTTTATGAATAAATTTTATGTACTCTATCAAAAAATTTGTTGTGATTTACTTCTTATTTTAATTTCGGTGTATGGTGCATTATTTAAAGTCAATAAATAATTATTTTATTTATGAATTTTATTGTTAGTAGATTGTTTGTTTCATTATATGTAAATAATTTGTTGCTTTTTTTAATTTTTTTTGCTTTTCAATTATAAGAAATAAAGAAAAAAATTTGATTTAAAAAAAATATAGGAAAGCAGTTGAGAAATAATGAAAAAAATTGGGAAACTTCATATTTAATATATATATAATGGAACACATTGCAACCTATCTACACATGCAGGGAAATCGCCCAACATATGTGATAGATTTGTATAGAAAATGATTGAGAAGTGAAATAGACGAAAAAGTGAAAGGTGTTTTAGGAGTTCTTTTTATGTTTTTATGAAAAAAATTATGTTTAAGAAGAGAAATGGGGGACAAAAAATGGAGAAATAAAATAGAAAGGAATAAACGAAGTTGGTGTTGAGAGATATGGAGTATGAGACACTTTTATCTTAACTTGTGGTTAAATTAAGAATTTAACTAAGATATGATACACTTAATTAAATAAATAGAACTTAAAACTCATACTTAAAAGAATCACATATAGAATTAAGAATTTGGATAAACTAGTATTACACCATTTTAAGAGTTACTCAAAGAGTAAAAAAACGAATTTCATTAATCAAAGTTGTGTTACAATGACCATAGCGCCGAAATATTTATATCAACAAGGAAAATATCTAGCTAATAGTACATTCAATAAGACAAAGTAAAAATGAAAGGAAGCTTCTTAATTTCACATATCATTTTGCTCCATTTTGTCATGATGTGGAAAGTCATTCATGATTGATCACTTTTGATTGTATTTGGGGTTAAAATTTTGTCCCTTATGAGCTAAAAACAAGGTAAAGACATTGAGATGAAGATACTTAATTCTTGCGGCACATTAGGACAAATGTCACTATTCACTCAAGGACTTTCTCCTTTGAACTATCGATCAACACACGTGGGAGATCATTTGGTCTTCATTTTGCGTGTAAAATGACTCACTTTTGGAAGATTACTAAGAGCAAATTTCGGTTTATGTGAGGAGTAAAAACAAAGACTTTTGTATCATAGAATGACAAGTAGTCACTATTCAATCAAACATTCTTTTGACATCTCGGGGTGACTAGGAATCATTCTTTAGAAGATAATAGGGGTGTTTTCGGCCATGTGGTAGGAAGGGAGAGTAAAAACATTATTTAGCTAAACAAAATACTTTAAAGGATAAACATAATTAAGTAGCAATTTCTTAGAGAAAATCCATATTTCTTATATGAATCTTCAAGTCTATAAAAATTAATCTTGATATAAAGAAATTGCATAATCGTGGTTGAAGTGTTATAATACGGACTAACATATGAATCCCAAAGTAAAATGTGATATTACTTTTAAGATTAAAATTTCTCCACTATACCGAAATTAACAAATTTGATAAGTATTCAATTGAAATGTAAGTAGAAGAGTAAGAAAATCAGGGGCCACAAGTTTCTTTTCATAAAGGAAGACTGGAAAAGAAGAACGGAACATAGAGAGTACTATCACTTTAGTGCAATACCTTTGGGAATACATTCTTACTCTCAATGGATATTTTTTTTCTCAGACTTGTGAAAAAACAATGGAAAACCCACTGAATGATAATATAAAAACATATGAAATAACTTTGATGCAATTAAAACTAATTTTAATAATGTCAGAAGATAGTTGTTCTGGGATGAGCTTCTTCTTCTAAGCTCCATCAGTTGGTGCAGAAGAAGAAGAAGAAGAAGACTGTTTGGGCGCACCTTCTTCTTCTTCTTCTTCTTCTTCTTCTCCAGTTTCCATGTCCTTAACGCCTGCAGCTGTTACTGTGGATGATGAACAACCAGCCCCTCCATCGTCTTTCTTCTCCACTGCATGACTGCTCTCTTCATCAGATTCGTCTTCCATGCCAAGGGAGCCTTTCCGAAGGAGTTTCACGCGTTTATATTCATCGTAGTGGGCCCGTCTATGCTCCTTAAAGCGCCTGCTTCTTTCTGAATCAGAACCTACAAGGAATATATGACAAAAAAGGGCATACCAGATCAGGATGCTCGAAATTAGTTCTTGGGTACAAGATTATGGCAAAATGTAAGGAGAACTAGGGCATGCAAAACATTGTAAATAGGCAGAATTTTTTGTGGTTTAATAGGGCAAAAAAATTGGTCGTGGAAACTATACAAATCAAAATTTCAGAAAATCTGAATGTCTCATGAAAAGATTGTTGGGTCTATTAAATTTGTGAATTATTAGGATATGCCCTATCAGGGTGGGGCAAATTGTGAATTACAAATGTAATTAAGATAAACCAGGACTGACCCTGCTAGTAAATGCCAACTACCAAGCTTGTGGCTGATATCAAGATTCATAGCCTGTCTAAGGCCCTGTTGGGTAACAAGTTCTAGTTTTTTTTTAAATATAAAATTTACTCGTAACATAATACAAGTACCATCTTCACTTATTTGGCTGAAGTAGATACCAAATGCTTTTCATTTCAAAAAATTCAGAAGTTTCAACCATTTCAGTCAAATAACTTCAGAGTGGGCCCTAAAACCTGGTTGCACTTGAAGCAGACGTGCCCTTTTTTGCTACTACAAACCTGGAAATGATCAGACTGCTCCAGAAAATGGGGGATTCAACATTCAGTAAAACAACTAGGAAAATGGTTTATGCTGAACTAGAATACCTTCATCATCTTCATCCATTTCATCTGCCTCATCCTCGGAAGATGGCCATCCAGTTGGACGTGTTTTGTCATTCCTGGATTCAACATCTTTCAATGCCCTCTGAATAGCTTCAGCATGAATTCCATTGCCAGTGCCATTTTCAGAGCTATTCCGTACAGGAGACAAAGACCCTACCACAATCATTGATTTAGGTATAAACTAACGGAACAAGAGCTAGATTCAAAAAAAGTATAAAGCATATGTGGACCCTAATACCCTATGGTTGTATCATGCATCCACATAGAAGCTTTACTGCTCAATGAAGAGTTCTTTAATTATTTCTCTGTTCTAGTTTGGTTAGGGGATTTCAGAGGGAAAAGCTGATATTAGTTTACTCCCTTCGTCTCTAAAACAAGTTCCCACGTTCCATTTTATCATCCCATAATTAATACTCACTTCTATATTTGGTAAGTTTTTCATACTTAAAAGATTATTATACCGCGGGTTAAATATGCTTTTGGTCCCTGTAAAATGAACGGTTTTTGCTTTTAGTCCCTCTAAAATATTCTTTTATAATTAAAAAGTGGAGTAATTCTTATACCCCCCCCCCCATTTTTCCAACCAGAGTAATAATTACTCCACTTTTACCCCCATCCCCACAACACACCCTACTTTACTTTGTCCTCATCTTTTGTTTCTCGCCTCATTCCCACGAATGGATGTGTAAATGGGGTGGGGAATGGGTTAGAAGGGAGAAAGGACACAACCATTAATTAGGATTCGACATGATATAATGTTAAATTATTAAATCAGGTTTATTGTACTTTTGCTACTGTTCATAACTTCATTTACTGCAGCCACCATTCTACATGGTCTAATGATTGAGGGGCAGTTTGGAAAGCTATACATGAATTTGACTTTTCATTATAATGTGTGAGGTCGAACCCACACTTTCTTTTGGGGATAGAGGGAGTATTAGTTTAGAAGTAGATTAGTTCAATAGAAAGGAAGTGAAGATTATAAAGTATAGAGTATAGATAATTTAAATAATTTAACAAAACAAATAATAATTTTCAGGTGTAGGCAAAACAAATATTACTTCATCCCACAATACTCATGTCTGACCAAAGCAACTTTTAAGTTTCGGCAAGGTACAAACAACCACATATGTATCATGAATCATACTTACATGTTTAAACTTATGAATTGGTTTAACACAATTCAGCCTTTGAAACATGTAAGCTTTTGGGGTGAAATTTCATGAAAGGTAGCATGATCGTGTTTTAAACCAGCCTCTATTTTTTAGAGAACAGGAATACCAACCTACTTTTCTAGCCCTTCCTCTTCCAACAAAACCCCCCACAAAGGGTTAGAGTAAGAGGCTCAATAAATAACAAATAGTAAATACAATCGTAACCTTAATCAAAGTAGGCTAACTAACAACCCAACGTGACAATACCATGTGAGAACTTGCAAAAGAATCCTTGATAAAGTTAGAAATTCAAAAATAAAAACAAGAAAATTGCATTAAAAATTCAATTTGAGCACACAAACATGAGAGCGTCATTAAGAAATGATACATGAATGAAACCTGGAGATATAAAGAAATATAGCATTCATTGTTGACATCTGACTTTCATCATTGAATCCATGCAGAATGATTTTCAAATATATATAAATGTTTTGGAAAATATAAAAAACAGAGAATAGGGGCATAAGAAAAGTGAAAATTAAAATGTACCATAATCATCTTCATCGATCATTGGGTGATAAGGTGTCTTTGGCTCTGTTATTTTCTGCCTTACTGGTTTGTTTGCCTCGATTTCCCCTAGATTAGTTTCATCCCATCGTACACGACCCCTGGCGCAGATCAAAAGTGAAAACACTTAGAAATAAATCACATTGGCCAGAAATAAATCACATTATAACAATATTTTTGTTTGGTTAAGGGGAAACCAAAGTTTTGGCTACTTAAGTGTTACACCGTACATAATGTAGCATCTATCTTCCAATGTAAATGTGGTCTCCAGATTGTTAAGGATATTGAAGCCAATCTGTTATGTCACTGACTGACTAGCTTATCACATACTTGTTTCTTAGAGGTAAGTGAAATTAAAAAATGTTGAATTCCAAAAACATTCATAAAAAGTACCTAGCTTATTACTATAGAAGAATGCTATGTGTCCAGCAAGACTAACCACCCTAGAATTTTCTCAGAATTTCATACTAATACAGATATTGATGGCCCGAGCTTCAGGAGAACTAGGATTAAGGTAGTCGGGTAGGCGCTTTGAACTTGGTGGTAGTTTCTCCACTTGTTGTGTGCTTTGTTTGTCGTGTAGGTTTGGGCTCTGGGCTTGATGTGTTTTTGTTGCGTTTAATTAGTTTGTTCTAGTCCTCTATGTGCTTTTTGCTATCTCTGATATATGCCTTCTGAGATCTCATTTTATCTTTACTGTTTGAGCCGAGGGTCTCTTGGAAACAGTCTCTCTACTCTTGAGTAGGGGCAAGGTCTGCGTACACTCCCTCCCCAGAGCCTACTCTTGTGGGATCTAGCTGGACTGTTGTTGTTGTTGTACAGATATTGATGGCCTCCCTCCTGCCCCTCAATCAAATTTCAGGCAGAATATCCACCTAAAATGCCCCATTATCAACACTCCATGTGGAAAAACTTCTGTTACAAAATGACATGATTTCACCATTTTTTGTGATGTTATACCCTTAGTCGTAGCCTTTTAATATTTCATTAGTTTAACAGGCTTAAATGGTTTTTTTAGTTGTGTTGTGTCATTCAGAAACACTCTCTCCACCTTTTCATGTAGACATAATGTGCACCAACCCCCTTAGAAAAACCCCACTTGTGGATCTTAATGACTTTTAGAATTTTGTACCAAAAGCATATTTAACCATGATATGAAGAGCCTAGTAATGTTACATATGGATCGTCTGGACAGGATCTAACATACGTGACAATATGTACTCAATCAAACCTATTTCAAATTAAACAAAATGGAAATTTTGATGTGATTCATCTTCCAGTCTTTATTTCACACGGTATCTAGCATGATCTACTTGCTTTTTTAACTTCTGAAACCTCATAGGGTCATATTATGATTAGACTTATATAATATATACCAAAATACATTATACGCTGAATAGAAATGCTACTTCCACGTAAATTAAAATGTCTTCTCGAGAAACATTGTCGATTACCATTTACTTTCTACCCTTCTATAATCTACAATTCTAAGCAAGCATGGAATAATAGAGGCTGGTAAAAATAACAATAAAGTGCCAAGAGAGATCATTACTTCATTTCTGCTGTCGAGCCAAATCTTTTTCAAATAAAATCCAGACGAACGCACTCTTCCTGAAATTACGGAAAATGTTCTTCAGAAATCTATGCAGCACGAACAAGCCAAACTGACTCGGACACTATAAGCACAGGATGCGTTTGGGGTGGATTTAGATCTGTGTGTTTGAGGCAGCTTGTTTTGCAGATACTTGAATCTTTCTCTGTGGCAGCTTACACCCTAACAAGAAAAGGGTTTTAGAAGTCGCAATATACAATAAATAATCTTAATTTCACGTACTCCGTAATAAAAACTTGATTATCATTATTTTCTTCAGATAAACATAGCCAACAGAGGGGAAAAAATCAACATGCTATCTGAAAAAACACATCTCGTTCCTCTGGGGTATTTTGAAATTCACCGTGCAGTTCCTCAGATTACATAATTTCATTTTCTTCCATTTCAATTTCATTGGGATTATCCCTTCAATTATTGTCCATACCAGTGAGAAGCTAAAAGAACAATGAGAAAACGAGAAACATGAGGATTTGGCCATTATTAGAAAACAGATTCATTGAAAACGAAAAAGCAAAAAAAGTTGAAATTGAAATACGCAATTACTGGAATTTGGAATATATTAACATGCTCTAAAATTGAACAACATTTGGAATCGAAACAAAAACATACATAAAATATAAACAGAAAAACCGAAAATCATTACCCGGATAAACGGAACCCTCGAAAAACTCCAAAATCGAAAGGATGGCAAACTAGCCTAGCTGACATCGTCAATGGGTTTGATGGAAGGATTCCAGAAAGAGTGGACTGGGGACGATAAATTTGTCAAAGATCTCGTATTTTTAAAATCATGCGGTCCAAATTATTTGAGTTAGAATTAAAAAAAAAAAGGTACTCCCTCCTTTCAAAATTTTCATTTTCCAGTTTAACTTGTATATTAAGAAAAGTTAAAAAAATGTAGAGATTTTTCATGTCATTTCTTGATCTGATCGAACAAAGTGGATACTCCCTCCGTCCCCATTTTGGCAGTTTTTGTCCACTTTTGACTTTTGGAACTGTTCATCTAAGCATTTTGACTCATCAAATTCTCTCGATGTGTAAGCCTAACTATAGTTATGTGTGATCATGTTTGATTTGTCGTAACATATAGATTATTAATATATAAATTCTATAATTTTTTAATATACAAATTACAAGATAAAATGGATTAAAGAAGTACATTGGATGATATGTAAAAATGAAAATGGACAAATACTCTGGGACGGAAAGAGTAATATAGTACTCCCTCCGTCCTAAATCTTTCTTCCCAGTTTGACTTTTCCCCATTTTTAATTTTTGGCTTTGACTTCAAATTTTACCCTCCTTAAAAGAGATTTTTTGAATTTTTTTTGTAATCATTCAAAATATAGAGTTAGAAGATAATTGGTGTAAGTACATGAGGGTATTAATGTCATTTGTCATCTTTTTTTTCTAATGGGAAGATAGTTTTAGGACGAAGAAAAAGGGGAAGTGGGAATAAAGTTTTAGGATAGAGGAAATAAAAAGGTAAGATATAATAGTAAATTCATTAAAAGTTTTTTGCTAAAATAAGAACGGAAAAGTTGTTTTTGGACTGCTCAAAAATGAAAGCGAGAAAAAAATTAATATAGAGACGGAGTAGAGAATATCTACCACTCTACTAGTACCTCAAATTTGTATCTTATTATATATCTCAAAACTTTGTACGACAGTACGAGTATTAAATGTAAGTGTAACACTAGTATGATGTTAGTGTTTCACTTACATTTTGTGTGGGTACAAATTTGGGGTAAAAGTAGCACAACTCAAAAAGATATGTCTGTCACCAATCTACGACCGTCTAACGGGATTTGAGGGTACGAATTTCATATTTTACATAACTATTCCCAATTTTAATTTTCAACGTTTTTTTTATTTTTTCTAGTTTGTTTGACTTCTTCAAGTGTTTTTCAATTTCTTCAAATTCATTTAAGTTTCATTCAGTTTTTTTTAATTTGTTCCAATTTTAACAATGACTAAGAAATAATTTACTTTTATTTTTCATATTTTAATTATTGTTGTTTCGTTATTGTTGTTATCTTATTATTAATGTTATCTTATTATTATTGTTATTGTTATTGACACTATAGCGCCCAGACCCTACTGTAATGGGATTCAACTGGGTTGTTGTTGTTGTTATTGACACTGTATTGTTATTGGCATGAATGCAGCGAGGGAAATTTACCTATGAGGATGAAGATGTGTTGAAGTCTTTTAAGAAGGTATTAGATAATGTCCCTTGTGAAGAGCACTTTCTTTTTTTAATGATTGGGTGCTACAATGTTAGAGTAGACCTGAATATGGTTATGGTTCTAAACAAAAACAAGTATCGGAAAATAGATCCAAAACAAATGGTTGAAACCGCCCGTTCTGGTTCTCATTTTTTTGTATCGAGACATGAATCGGTATTGGTTTATCTTTTTTGTTTTTTATATTTTAAATACACTCTCTGTTGCAGAGCATTTGTTTAGTTTTAACTTTTTTGCAATCTATGTACATTTCCCTTTGACTTATACTCCTCATTAAATAAAAATTTCTTACTATATTAATTAGATAAAGAAATGTTTTAAAAATGTTTTACAAGATAAATCTATTAAATTATTTTCGTATCAATATCTAATACAAATTTTATTTGGTTTTTATGAAAGTTTATAACATTTGACTGCAAAAAGTTAAACTAAGACAAATATTTTGAGACGGAGGTAGTACTTATTTTCAATTTTTTGAGGTTGATTCACAATATTTACTTCCAAAAAGAGTTTGGAGCCAATTATATAACTTTTTTACCAAAAATATTTTGAATAAAATTAAAATTATTTAGAATTGGTTCAGAAATGGGACAAAAGCCGGAAGCGCCCCTACGCAGTACCAGTTCCGGTTCTCCTCAAATGGGTACCGGAACCAAAACCAGACCGGTACCGTGTCCACCATGTTAGAGGGCTAAACAGCCCTAATAAACAAGATGAAGTTCCTTATTTTATGAGGAAGTATGATATTGTTCTATGACGTTTAATGGAAACAAAAATTAGAGAGTTAATTTCAGTATCGTATAACGGAATATTTGTAAGTGTTGGAGTTCTTATATCAACAATTTTGCTCATTTTTTGGGTAAGATTTCAGTTATTTGGAATCCAAATAGAGTTGATGTTACTAGTTTGGAAGTGTAGATGATTCACTGCAAATGTAAAAGAAAATATTAGGGCTGAGGTAACTAAAAGAAAATATTGAGAAACTTGCTTCCAAACTGAAGAAGCTCTTAAGTTGGATCATGGTAATAAGCACCACATAGGACAGGAGCAGTCCCTTAAGAAGGAATTAAATTGGAGACTTAGGTTTCGTTTGGTACACAGAATTCTAACTATGAAATTGAAATTGAGGACAACAATTCCAATTATGTTGTTTGGTAGCACAAAAATATGTGGATTTGGAATTGGTAGGGCCAAAAATAAATTGGAATTGGAGAATTCAATTCCATCCCAATCAATTTCAGGCCCCGTTTGGTACACGGAATTCAATCTATGGAATTGGAATTGAGGACTTCAATTCCAAATCTCGTGTTTGGTAGCACAAAAATTATGTGGATTTGGAATTGGTAGTGCAAAAAATGAATTAGAATTGGTGAATTCAATTCTATGAAATTGAATCTCATGAAATTTTAATTCCAATTCAATTCCAATTCCATCATAGAATTTCAATTTCCAATTCAATTCCAATTCCGCCAGTTCAATTCCGTGTACCAAATGGACCCTTAAAGTTCTGCACGTTTAATGAAATACCAAGATTAATGAACATACATGATGGGGTAAACTGATGATAATACGTTCTAACATAGCTTAAATTTGTTATCTGAAGTACTCTGTATATAGCTTAAATTTATTACTTTAGCATTGTTCAACACTTCAACCAAGTAATTTTGCATCAAAATTTGTGTACATGAAACCAGGGAAAGAACAAGTTTCTCTATATTGTCATGGTTCAGGAACCAGGAAGGCACATGCAACAAAATAAGGGAGCCGCCAGAGAACAATTTAACAACTGATATGCGACGTCAAATATAAAAATAAGCATTCGTGTGTCCTCACTTGACAAACATATTTTAAACCATCTGCAAATGCTCATAGTACCATTCATTCACTCTGTTGACTTAGCTGCAATGTGAGGCTTCTTTTCCTTCACAACTGGCTCGGATTCTGCAGGAGAAGAGATAATGAATGAATAAACAAATAACTCAATGTGCCAAAGATTCAAATGCAATGAATTTTTTGGCTGAAGTTCAGTAAAATAATTTGTTTAGTTTCTTAGTAAGAATATATTACAATAACAAATGTCATGGAGTTCTATTAACCGCATACACACTATTTATACGTTCTTGAGCGTGCCAAGTTATGATTTAAAAGAACAAAAAGATCAAAAGTGTGAGCTTTTGATAGAGTAAAGAGTCTTGAAAGACGACAGCAGATATCCAAATGCAATCCATCAGCAAGTAGTTTTTTCCCACCATCTCTTTCCAGGAAACATTCACAGCAATCCAGCAACAAGAGGGTGTTACGGGAGTAATTTTGATAATGATTCCCACCTTCTCCTTTATATAGAAGAAGTTTGGATTGTTTGAGAGTGTTTGATTCTCAGCCTTTGTAAGAGAAAAGCTGAGAAGCACCTCCGAGAAGCTTTTAAATTATGTTGTCAAAATAATCACTTTTTAAAAAATTAAGCACACCCCAACACCCTCCAAGTACGGTAGGCTCTTAAATGGCCTGCAACAGGAGTGGAGTTAATATCCTCCAAAAGTTTCTGGACCCATGGCAAGCACAACAATGCAGCCTTTGTAGAAAATTGACAAACTGGTAGTGATCAAGGAGCATTGGAGGGGTCAGTATGTAGTTGGTGCACAACTGGCTTAAGGTTTGGATTGTGATTGACAACATCAAGTTCTGTCTAATTGATTCATAAAAGCAAAGGTACTGGAAAATGTTCCAGGCCTCGGTCTGCTGAGGTAATGCATCTGCAGCATTATTACTCACCCCTAGCTTATACACAATTTCAAAATCATATCCCCAATAACTCATCCACCGATATTTGTTGTGAAGAAGGTGGTGAAAGGTTATTACGATAAGTGCAGAAGACTATGGTGGTTACTGCAAACACCGTCTCCCATAAGATAAAGGCACAAATGCTTAATGGCTAGGGTGAAAGCCGTCAATTGAGAAAATAGTTGTGAAAGATTGAGTTTATTGAGGAGCTACGTTGAGAGGGATAGCACTGAGTAGTGAGTACCATAAGGTAATTCACCAGTAAGAATAAGTTTTGCCCACGGCCACAGCCATAATTTGAATGCAGAGTTCTTGATATCTTGTATCATTTGCATGGTGTACAGATTTGCACTTGTAAAACAGAATTGAACAAGGTAAGAATAAAAATGGCAACAATTGATCGCCTATCAAGTCTCTGGTCTTGAAAATTATATTGAATTCCTGGTCTTGACTCTTGAGCAATCTCACTAGTTGCCTTTTACATCCTGAAAAATATATTTTTTCCTGTTATTTGGCAAAAACAAGATTTGCATGCACGTTACATATAATAAGAATTAGTTTCTAGCTTGATCAAGACTTTCTTGCGACAAAAGTAACGCTACGTTGGTCCCACAATTAAATTGACACTTCTCTTCTTCGTATGACCCAAAATAAACATTGTGTTCCTATCATTTCCTATTTAGGAAAAGAATATGTAGATCAAAGCATTTCTCATTGTTCTAAACAAAATTCAACCGCAAACTTTTCACTTTTCTTGAACTCAGTGAAGTCAATGTGTCAATTGAATTGTGGGACACAGGGAGTACAATTCAGCACATAAGAATGCGCTGGGTGAAGGGGATAAATGATAAAAGCACCACAAAAAGTATAAATAAACAATTAACTGGCAACCACTCATCAGTTAATCTTGATATTCCTCCATTAATCTTTAAACGCTTGTTAGTCGTCACTGATGCATTCGAAACGTTTGAAGCTTCCAACTTCTTTATAGAGAGAGACCTAGTATTTCCACAGAGATACTGAAAGAAAGCATATATGCTGATATACGTTGATTGGTTTTTCTTCTTAAATTTCAATATATATTAATAAAGATAATTTTCTCAAAAAAAATAAAGATAATAAGATATAATGCCATCCCACTATACCTACTTAAATTTCCAAAGAAGCAAACATTCAAAGTTTTCCCACTCAAAGACTACAACTGAATCACTTATTTCCTTAAGAAAAATGAATGAAATGATAGAAATATAAGGGAAAACATACTGGATATGAGCGCCCTTGGTCTGGTTTTGAAGAGAACTTTCTGGCGAATAATCCCAATTACGTCCAATTCCACTCCAGGTGTGTTAATATCAGTATCTTCCTCTAGCTTCCTTTTCTTCAATATTAGCATAGGTTTCTTCAAGGGCACTTTGTTCCCAGTCAGCTCGTGATACCCAACTGTAAAGGTATAAATCTCCTGAAACCAGAAAGGGGCAATTAGGGCAAAATCCGAGAAACACTACACATCAAATGAGATTTGGAAATTAATAAATTGGGGATAAAGTGTTTTTGGGAAGGGAAAGAATTGAATCTGACCTGAGCAGAAGGGCGACAGAGAACGCCGATTTGGAGGTCTTGAAGGCGATTCGCGAAGGCGGGTTGGGCCTCAATGACGCCTTGAAGCTCCACGATTGCCCATTCCGGGCAGCTCTCTGCGCAACCGCATTTCACCCGGATCTGCATTCCTTAATTAGGTGTGATCCTCGGAACAATTGGAAGCTTATCTATTTGGGAGGGTTTTCCCGATAAGAGCAGGCGGCGCGTGAAGATAACATCGCAGAGGCCTGAGCGTGTTGATTCACTTGATTGAAGTATGCGGAGTTGGGGCTATGGATTTGGCGGCAAAACACAAAACGCTAGAGTGCCACCATAGAAGAAATTCCCTCGTAGGTAAACTCTAGGGGTGTACCCCAAATGTACATCACCCTCCCTTTCTACCATTCATTTTATTTTATTTTTAGTTTTTACTTTTTTTTTTGAATTTTTTGCTTTTTTTGTGTGGTAATGGAGGGGGTGGAGGATGTTTGGGGTACACTTTTGGTGTACCCCTAGCATTTTTCTTTGAAAAATTGCATTTGAAAGGTGCAAAAAGTGAGTCTTGAGAAATGTCATCCTTTTGCATTTTTGAAACACAAAAAAGGACAATCTACACTGTGGGTAAAGAGTAATTAACTAATTATTTCCAAAAAATTCAAACCTTCTTCTCCGACCGTCCCACAAAAATTTTCTCTTTTTCTTTCTCATCCGTCCCAAAAAACTCTTCTCTTTTTCTAATAAAAATTCATTTTTACTCATATTAATTCTGAACCTACATATCACATCACACGTTTTCTTTATTAACCTACTCATCACATCCTACTTTATCCATCACATCAAAGGACATTTTTTGGAAAGTCAACATCAAAATATACTCCCCTTAAATCCTTTAAAATCCAAAATCAAGCATTTCATTCATAGATGAAATTTTTAAATTTGCACTTGTGTCATCTGTCATTTCTATGCTCTTAGTTATGGTAAAAGTGTTGGAAGACCTGCTTCCTTCGCCTCAAGGTTTGAACTTCCCCAGAAATTTGATGGCCTCCCTTGAGTCATTGCCTAGCAATAGTTTTGTTACGTGGTAAGATGTGGACACGTACATGTCATCTGCTTAATGTAAGACATTTAAAAATAGTTACAACGGACCTTGTCTATTCCCTCATGATATACTTTCTACATATTTCTAAATTGAGATTTTCATATTTGTATTTACCTCTGAAGCGCTTTGGACGACCAAACAGCATAATGAGAACGGGGTCTGTTATACCCCCTCCAACATAGCTGTTAAACTTTTGAATGTAGTCCCCCCACAGGGTGCAACGAATCCTTTTGCCCCTATTGGAGGGATTAGAACATATGTGAGATAGTTAACATAGTCATTTAAGAGATTAATATTTTGTTAAAAAATAAGCATTACTCTTTATCTTCTAAAGTCAATTTCATTAATTTATGAGGAGTGCCCTGAACAATCCATCGTTGGATTCCCATCCTTCCAATCACTTTTCCGGTGACATCTAAAGAAGACATATTCAACTTTAAGTCATTTTTCATACTTGTAATGCATATGTAGAAAAAATTGTATGAAATTCTAAGAGATTTATTACCAATTAGTTCCTTGTCGTTTAGGCTTGGATGACCCAATAGACTGTCAAAGCTGTGAAACTGGTATGGGAAGTTTGGGAAGGGATAGGAACTGATATTGTAATGCTTTGTGTCTGTGAAGAAAACCAACAAATACGGGTGGGTTGTGGTTTTGTATGTTTGATAGTTGTTATGAACCAGGAAATTTCGTAGTGCGTAAACCCCTCCCTCTGTGATTGTGGTTTAAAGAATTTGATTTGTGGCCTTTTAATTTGCCCATGGATCCTTGTTCCCTAGACATAGGAGAAAATTATTCCCCATGAAATAAGTAAAAAAAGCAATAGAGTAAGTACTTGTAAAAATTAAAATGCTTACTTCCTCGTCAAAGCTGTAAAAATTAAAATGCTTATTCCCAAATTCACGCTGCAACCATTTCACATTTTCTTCATCTCTCGATCTAATTTTTCTCTCTTTTCCATCTCTCTTGAAACAATAGATCTAATCTTCAAATCTACTTTTTCTCTCGTTTCTCTTCTCCCTCAAAAGTAATTGCCGTCCCTCTTCTCAACCTACTCTCTTCTTTACAACCTCTCTCAATTTCTCTCTTTCATCTTTTCATTTCATCTTCTTCTCCATTTAATTTTATTGAAATGACATAGTTTCTTCTTCATCTGTTGGCCTGACGCGGGGGTGAGTCATAGGAAGTAGATCAGGTAGATTCAGTGTCAGATCTTGAAACGAGGCTCCCGTAAAATGCACGCGTAGATCCAGCGTTGTATATCCAAGCTCCCAACAATGGTGGTCGGAGAACTGGAAGTCATCTCCTCCTCTCTGTTGTCATACGAAAGAGTTTTTCCTCTGCGTTCCATGGTCTTGTTGGACTTAAACCCAAATCTAAAACATAATTTATTCAATTCTACCTTTTTCATCTTCTAGAGTCAGTTCTTAGATATAATTGTGTTTTTTTCTTCAGAACATCCGTTGGGACTCAAAACAGTGAGGATTTGGATTTAGATTAAATCTTCTCTTTTTTGTTTTCTCTAGGCAAAGATTATTGAGGGGCATTTTAGGAAAGTCAGAACATATTTTACACTCCTTCAAAAATGAGCTCCGGTCAGACTGAGAAGATGGTTATATGACGGAGGGAGTATTTATTTTTATAACAAAAAATACAAATAAAAGATTGAAACTTGAAGGTAGAGAAAAATAAAGGATAGAAATGTCATTTTATGTCTAAGAACATGCAAGAGGGGGGCGTCTATGCATTATTTAAAGACCACGGGGGTTTTATAAATGATTTTTGAAAGCAAAGAGGTTCTGGACGGGGGCACCCATGCCCTCTTAAAAATATCGCCGAGATAGACCATGTGAGATAAATATTTTGATTTAAAAGATTGAAACTTGAAGCAATAGAGTAAGTACCCTGTTGTAAATAGGGAAATTATGCCACAATTTATTTGTGATACTGTACAAATAATAAGCATACGGAGTACAATTTACGAGTATACAATTTTAAAAAATTAAAATCAAAATGAAACTCGTGTTCTTTATACTACATCTGTACAACCAAGCAAATTTGATTAGAGAAGGAACAAACTATGGCTAATCGATTTTCAAAGTCCATTCTGAATGGCAGTGCACAAATCATCCTTCAATTGTGAAGCGGGTTGGGGCCGCCGGGAACAACCTTGTTGGAAACAGCGTAACCTCTATCAGATGCGCGGCGGCCCTCTTTGCCGCCGCCTCCGCTGCAATTGAGCAATTGTTCGGGCGGAGAATCCATCGCCGGCGACCTTGATTCTTCGTCATCTTCTCCTTCATCGGCGACACTGAGATTGACGCGCCTGCAGTAATTCGAGCGATTGAGAGTGAATAGCATAACAATAACCAGAAGCAGAATCGGCGATGCGCGAGGATGATGATGATGATGATGAAGATTCATGTCCAGAGAAGTGATGAAGAAGAAGGAGACAGGGGAATAGAGAGAGGATAAAAGGTATTGTCTTCTTCTATTTAACATTTGTTAGATCAGCCCACGTTTGGGTAGAGATCCCACAAATGCAGCCAAAAAGAACAGATCAGTGGCGTATGGCAATATGCAACTTGACAGTGTTGGGGAAGAACGGAACAAAACACAACGGAAGCGTATAAAATCTTTTCCCCAAATTAATAAGATGAATAACAAAGCACAATATACTCTAGAAATCAGCACCACCACCACAAATAAATAGCAACGGAAATAAAATTAAGAACACACGATTTACGTGGAAACCCCAAATCGGGGAGAAAACCACGGCCGCTCAACAACGGCACCCAAACTTCCACTAATCACCAAGAACCAAGTGGGTACAACAAGTTCTCCTCTCTAGTAAACACTAGAGGCATACATAATCATCAAGGAGCAACCTTGGAACAACAACAATCAACAATTCAACATAAAATGGAGTAAAAACTCCCAAAAACGCAGGTATGAAAACGCAGCTAGAAAACAGCCTTTCGGGCATCAAAATGAGAATCTGACCGTTGGATTTGAAGAGGAGTATGTGAGGAACAACATACTAAAATTTGAGCACGATCGGACTTCGTTTGGCCTTCGATCCGGAGGTGAAAAGTTGCTGCTGTAGAGAGTGGCGGAAATCTTTTTTTCTTCTCTCTTCCTGCGTTAGCTACTGCCCATTCTTCACCTCTTCTTTTTCTTTCTTTCTCCCTTATCCCTTTCTCTCTTTTTTTTTTCTTTTCATTTATTTAGTATATGGGCCACCATAAAATATTTGGGCTAAAACTTTACACACAAAAAATAAGCCCAAAACAAAAGAGAGATATAATGTGTTGTCCAATTAAAATTGAACACTTCCTCCATGTAGGAGGGAAATTTCCCAACAAATCTCCCCCTCACTCCTACATGGAGTGAGCAAACAAACCGGCCTTCTCTCGACAAAACACGAGTTTCTCCTTCGGTAATGTCTTGGTCAACATATCCGAGCAATTCTCACTTGTGTGAATCTTCACAAGTTCAAAAGACTTGTCCTCCACGGCTTCTCGAATCCAATGATACCTTCTCTTAATGTGTTTGGTTCGAGAATGAAATGCGGCATTCTTGGCAAGGTGGATGGCACTTTGTGAATCACAATGAAGAAGATAATTTTCTTGTTCCAAACCAAGCTCCTCAAGAAAATTCCTCATCCATAACAACTCCTTGCCTGCCTCAACAGCTGCTATATACTCTGCCTCAGTAGTGGACAAAGCAACACACTTCTGCAATCTTGATTGCCATGAAACTGCAGCTCCAGCAAATGTCATTAAGTATCCCGAGGTAGACTTTGTAGTATCAACATCTCCAGACATATCTGCATCTGTGTACCCATCTAACACAGGTTGTCCAATACCAAAACATAAACAAATTCTGGAGGTACCTCTAAGATATCTGAGAATCCATTTCATGGCTGCCCAGTGCTCTTTACCCGGATTCGACATGTAGCGGCTAACAACCCCAACTGAATGAGCAATATCTGGTCTCGTACATACCATGGCATACATCAAACTACCCACGGCTGAAGCATAAGGCACCTTGTTCATCTCTTGCTTTTCTTTCTCACTTGTAGGGCAATGGTCCATACTAAACTTCATGTGGCCTGCAAGTGGAGAGCTCACGGGTTTAACATTGCTCATGTTGAATCTACCAAGCACCTTCTCAATGTATCTCTCTTGGGATAGCCAAAGTTTCTTGTTCTTTCTATCCCGCGTGATCCTCATGGCTAAAATCTCTTTAGCAGGGCCTAAGTCCTTCATTGCAAAGGACTTACTCAATGACTTCTTCAAGCTAGCAATCTTCTTGGTGTCCTGTCCAACAATCAACATATCATCAACATATAAAAGGAGAATAAGAAAGTCACCTTCGGAGTAATTCTTCACAAACACACAATGATCAGCGTGTGTTTTGTGGAAGCCATGATCAACCACAAAAGACTCAAACTTCTTATACCACTGCTGAGGTGCTTGCTTCAGACCATACAAACTTTTCTTCAAACGGCAAACTAAGTTCTCCTTTCCCTTAACCTGGAAGCCTTCAGGTTGCTCCATGTAGATTTCCTTATCAAGATCACCATGAAGAAATGCTGTCTTCACATCAAGTTGCTCAATCTCCAAATCCATGCTCGCAGCTAAGCCAAGTATAACTCAAATAGACGCCATCTTCACAACTGGAGAAAATATCTCATCAAAATCTATGCCCTTCTTCTGACTGAAACCCTTCACAACTAATCTTGCCTTGTACCTTGGTTGTGAGCTACTCTCATCACACTTCAATCTGTATACCCACTTGTTCTTCAGTGCTCTCTGGCCTTTAGGCAACTCTACAAGCTCATATGTGTGGTTCTCATGCAAGGACGTCATCTCATCTTGCATGGCATCGTACCACTTCTCGCGGTGCACATGTGACATAGCCTCATCATATGTCTCTGGCTCTCCTCCATCTGTGACTAACACAAAATCATCCTCCGAAAGTCTCGTGGAAGGTTTTCTGACTCTGGTGGATCTTCTCAACTGAGGTG